CGGTCTGCAATTACCGTCATGGCGTGATGCAAGACAGACAGCTGGTCCCTTGGACTTGGTTCTTGACACCCCCAGAAAGCCGTCAGGGACGCGTCCCGTCGTTTCCGTGAAGTCGGCTCGCCCACGTTAGCCGCGGTGGACCGGCAAACTTATTTGGCTCTTTGGCGATGGGGGTCTGCAGACTGCAAGACGGACGGGCCAAGTCCCAAGATTCGGATCCCAGAGGATCTGCTTTCCCCATGGGCGCAATGTGAAGAGCATGGGACCTGGCCAGAAGCGGGAAGCGGTAGATGGCTGAGTTGAGAAGAGATGAATTTGGAAGAACGACGAGGGTAGTTCGCCCAGACGGCGGGAATGGGGGCATTCGATTGGCGGAGCCCCGTCGGGAATGCGTGGTGGTGGGGTGGCATGGCTCGGTGTAACATTCATACCAAGTCTGGCACGGAGCGAATGCAATGACAGGATTCAGTTCGGCCTTCACAGGAGAGAATTAAATATTGCGACAGAGTCTCCAAACGCATTTCAGGAAGCCACCAAAGGTGGGGTAAGGGCAGTAATTGTTATATAATTAGGGGTATCGTGAAAGAAGCGTCGAGCATAAGTACCGGGGTCGACAAGCAATTCAGTGTCCAAACGCTTTGTGCTACCTCTTCTTTCCTTCCATTATCTCATCTCTCATATCTTATCTTCCTCGTTTCTTTCAATAATGATAACGCTGTATGTACCACGCATGGTGCTCGAGGCCGAAACACCAGCAGGAGCACCCATTGCCATTTAGATGCCAGAAGTGGTCGCACCGACGTTGACGACATTACCAGCCTCGTCGACGGCAACCTTTGTCTTCTTGGTTGACTCTTTCCTCGGGTTAGGAGCCTCAAAGATGGACTTGAGCTCTTCCAGCGTCTTCCCAGCCGTTTCGACAAAGAAGAAGTAAATGATTGCCATTTCAATGCACTAGATTCGTCAGCAACCGCAAAACCCAATACCAAAGAGTGTTGGTAAAAACTTACAATCCAGGCAATGTACACAAGGTACAACTTCCACGCAATCTTCTCCATACCGACGGAGATGCCGTAGGTATTGATCATGATAGCGACATTAAGGAACAGGAACGAAAGCCCGGATCCCTTGGCGCGGGTGCGGTTCTCGAGACACTCGACAGCATACAGCGTCTGAAGCGGCGTGAAACCCCAGGCGAAGCAGATGCCAAAGACGTAGATGGAGACTATGACACCGTACGAGAGGTTCTTGTGGTTTGCCGACTCGGCGGTGAAGGCTGTGAGCATGATGTATGAGGCGAGCGAGCCGGCCAAGCCAGCCAGCATCATGAAGCGGCGACCGAGCTTGTCGAGGAGAGTCGCGCCCCAGATGGCGGCGATCATGGAGAAGATTGGGTTGATGGCGTTGAGGAGGAGTTGGGTGTTGTCGTCGGTGATGCCGGCTTGCTTGAACATCTCGGGCATGAAGTAGGATACGACGTTGTTTCCGCTGTGATGAAGAGTATAGTTAGATAACGCCCAACGCTTGCTGCGAACCTTCGCCCAGTCAAAGGGCGTTACTTACGACCATTGGCCAATGAAAGCCATTGCAATGACCATGAAAAGCCTGTATCGGCGGGCCTTGGTGTTGAAGAGCTCCTTCATCTGCCACCAAGGGTTCTCGTCGGTGGTCGAGTGGTGATCCTCAATGATTTCGCGGTACTGAAGCTGCACAACGGGGGAGTTGACGTCGCCGTCACCGTGGTACTTGGCCAGGATGGCGAGTGCCTCCTCTGCGCGATCCTTTGAGATGAGCCATCGAGGACTTTCGGGGAAGAACATGATGAATATCATGACTACTCCAGGCATAGCGGCCTGGACGACGGTGGGGATTCGCCACGCCCAGCTTGTCTTGATGTGGTGGTTCGCACCGTACTGCCATTGTCAGTCAGAGGTGTTCGACCGCCCCGATGTAAGGTGGTGGTGATACTTACGGTAGTCCAACCGGCCAGGATGTTTCCAAGCCACCAAAAGTTGTTGTAAAGACCAGCCATGGTTCCACGGGCGGAAGGATGCGCCAGCTCGACGACGTAAGCAGGTCCAGCAGCAGAGGCGACTATGCAATGTTAGAGATTCGAGTTCGCATGATTGCTCGTGATGAGGACGACATACGAGAAGCTCCAAAGCCGAGGACAAATCGGCCTGCCACAAATTGTCCCAGGTGTTGGGCAGGTGCTTGGATAGCGGTGCCAATGAGAACGATGAAGCAGCCGATGAAGATGCACCATCTTCGACCCCAGCCATCTGCGATCATGCCGCAGAATGGGAAACTGCAAATTTGGCCGACTTGGTAGATCATGAAGACGATACCAGTTGTGGAACCGGCGCTCGAAAGTCCGAAGGTCTCTTGGTAGGGCGGCATTGCGTTGATCGCTCCCATGAGGGATGAGTCTTGAGAAATATCGTTAGCTGATGAACGTACATCCGATCTACTCCGTGGTGTGTAAACTCACCGAAGCCGTTCATGGTTGACACCTGATGGACAGCATATTCATTAGCCCATCTCAACCAACAGTGTAGGTTTAGGAAGTCTTACAAGATAGCCGATGGCCATGATGCCGTACAACTTGATCATGTTGGGCGACCACCAATTCACCTGCTGCTCCGCCATGGCGGCAGCCAACGCGACGGAGGCGGCATTGATCTCCTTCACTTCGCCGATGGCAGCCTTTTCATCGTACGCGGGTGGCTCATTGTCGTGTTCGACCACCGCCTGGCCCTTGAATTCGTCTTCGAGTTTTGCCATTGTGGCTCCAGGATTGGGCAACTGAACCGCAGCGTGCTCGTTTTCTGCTGTTTTGTTCGAGAGCGGCAACTGGGGAGAAAGCAGGCACGCGCGAGAGAGATGCGCGGGATGGGCCGATTCTTTTAAAGAGGAAAGCGAAAATCTGGCCAAGGCATGGGATCAACAGACAGGGACGCTTGTCAACGCTGGCCCAACCAACGGGTCGGTATCCATCCTCGAACTACCGTTACATGAGTTTCCCCATCTTGCGGTGCTCCCACACACCATAAACCCGGCCCCCAGTCCCAGCTTTGGATATTGGGGTGAACGTTGGTGGTGTTCCCCACATGGTGAGAGACAACCAGGCAATGGGCTGGTTTACACAGGGAACACGGAGCCGCGGCACGTGGACGAGATTTCAGCGGAGTCTTGCGGCGACTTGACGGGGCTCAAGAGAAAAGGTTATGATATGATCCGTTCTTGCGCTCGCAAGTCGTCACTAGTAGTTCAATCGCTAATCCTGTAGCACTTGGTAAAGACGGCGCCAACTTTGAAAGACGGATCTCCTCCGCACAGCTTCGCCTCCTCATGGTTACCCCATCTCGCCTGGATCTCGACCCCAGGTATCGGAGAAGATCCAATCCTAGCGTGGCAGAAATTACAATGCGACGTGTGATTCGTGTGGTTATCCATGTCGGCTCTTGATGCAAGGCAGCACGAGAGACCCGAGATGGGCTGCTGGTGAGGGGAAGCGAAGCTCAAAGTGTACATGCGACGCGCCGGTTTCCGGTTTGGACGATGAGCAGCGTCAGCCAAGGCATGTCGAACCAACAGAGGGATGGTGGCGGCGGCAGGCCGATGCAGTGCCCGGCACGATGCCCGGCAAAAAAGTCCGGTACGCTACTCTGGAGCAAGTTTAGGCCGTGACGGATGCGGCGCAGTGAGATCAAGAACGCGTTGCCGCAAGTCCAAACTGTTCAAACACGCGCTACGGAGTACTGCAGTGCAGTATCCGTAGTAGGGATACAATGTTAAGCCTGTCACGGAAGAACGCCGAGGCTAACGACCCATGAACAGGTGGTTGGGCGAGCCGCGACAGAAAAGAGGCAAAGTGAGAGAAGGAGAAAAGTAAAAAGCTCGGGAAAAGGAGGAACGAAGACCGGGTGGAGAGGCTCCCCCGAACCCCAGACGGGGTTGAAGGCCGAGGCCACAGTTCGGCGCTAGCACCGACTGGGGAATTGCGGGTCCGGGGATTGGGTGTTGGACCCTAGCGGAACGTACCGCTTCATGAGGAGAAGCAAAGGATTGGTCGCTGAACATGCTAGAGGAATGGAGAAATTCTCGGATGGAGCCCCAGCATGACTCGGGAGTTGGTCTAGAACAGAAAGCAAACGGCTCGTGTAACGCAGGGGATTCGGGCTGGTCTGGTGATGCGTGGAGCGGTTGATATATCATCCTTTGAAAAGAGCAACGGTTCCCACCATTGTGAAGTTAGGTTTGAAGAAGTTGCCTGAGGTGCTCACAGTCGGAGCTGAGGCCGAGGATATCCGAAATGCTCCCGGCCGGTGCTTTGTTCCACCTCAGGCACCCAGACCCTCCAGGTGTTTGGTCGACATCCCAAGAGCGAAACAGGCATTGACATGTCACGTGCATCTTTGTTTCCCTGTTGCCTTACTTGCAGCCTCAGGACTCAGGACGAATCTAGGTAATCCTCAGGCCCCCAAGTTTAAACTCCAACTCTGAAGCATTACCTAAGCCCCTCTTGACCAATCATCAGCTACCCCGCTTCCCCGAATCCTTCCCCTTGCAGCTATTCCCTCGTGATTCCCCCGCACTCCCTGACGCTGCACCGTCTCAGGTCGGGTGCTCAGGTGACGTTCCTGACCGTGGAATCCTGACACCTGGGAGCTCGGCTCGTATGAAGATGGTGCCAGAGCTCACCAGCTCCGACCCCAAAGCTCCAATCGCCAGTGTGCTCCTCCACTTCCACAATCTCCAGGACACCACTTTCAAACCTCTATCCACTCTCAACAGCTCATTATCGTGTGAAATTAACCTGCTATCTACACTACTCCATATACCACCACGCTACTCGAGATACCGACTTGCATGCCCCGTCAATTCCTCATCTCCGTTCATCGTGTCTCCACTGTCCCCGTCTTTGTCCGTCCCTTGAACCCACATCCGCATCCTCCTCCGCCTCGGTCACCGGTGCCGAGCTCTGTACTACCACCACCATGTCCGACATCTCCGATGACTACGTCGACATCTCTTCCGAGACTGACCTCCATCTGAGTGTCTACATGGAGAAGCTAGGCCGCCATTGTCGTCTAGGTAGCTCGTCAAGTGAGGGATCATCATTCACAGCCGGACCCTCCAGACAAGAGACAACCTCCACTGTTGTTGAAGCTCCAACTCACTCGTTCCCAAAGAGCCTTCCCGATTGGAGCAACCTCAAAGTGCTCCATCGCAACACCCTTCCACCACGGAGCTACTTCTTCCTGTACAATACCGAAGAGGACGCCCTTACTAGGGATACATCCAAGTCCAAGTCACTCCTACTTTCCGGAAAATGGAAATTCCACCTGACAACATCGCCTTTCCATGAACCTCGGGACTTCTACAAGACCGACTATGACACCTCGGAGTGGGACGACATTGTCGTACCTGGCATGTGGCAATGCCAGGGCTACGGCAAGGGTCCTCAATATACCAATCTCAACTTTCCCTGGCCCGTTGATGCGCCCAACATTCCCTACGATGACAATGAATGCGGCCGACATGTGACGACCTTCAAAGTTGGTGACGACTTTGCGGACCACCAGCTGAGACTACGCTTCGAGGGTGTCGACTCTGCCTTCACCGTCTGGGTCAATGGCAAGGAAGTCGGCTATTCCCAAGGAGCTCGTAATCCCAGCGAGTTCGACGTCACGGACTTTGTCAAGGTCGGCGAGGACAACCTTCTTGCCGTCGAGGTCTACCAGAGATGCGACGGCACATACCTCGAGGATCAGGACCAGTGGTGGCTCAGCGGCATTTTCAGAGATGTCTACCTCCACGCTTTCCCCAAGTTCCATCCAATCGACTACCACGTTCACACTCTGCTGGACGATGACTACAAGGATGCCACCTTGAAGGTCGACGTCGAGATGAGCCAGGGCGCTTACGTCGATATGAAGCTCCTCGACGCTGATGGCAAGCTCATCGCCAAGGACATGAAGATTTTTGACCGACACAACAGCTTCGACATCCGCGTCAAGAACCCACACAAGTGGACGGCCGAGACTCCATACCTCTACACCCTAGTCCTCAACTTCAAGAAGTGCAGCCTGGTTCAGCGCGTGGGTTTCCGTCGCGCGGAGCTGATCAAGGGGGTCTTCAGCGTAAACGGCGATCCCATCAAGATCCGTGGCGTGAACCGCCACGAGCACCACCCAGACTCGGGCCGCGCCGTGCCTTACGACTTCTTGAAGCGCGACCTGCTCTTGATGAAACACTTCAACGTCAACGGCATCCGTACCTCTCACTACATCAATGACCCCCGCCTCTACGACCTCGCAGACGAGCTCGGTATTTGGATCCTCGACGAGGCTGACCTCGAGTGCCACGGCTTCGGCGTTCTCGGAAATGCGGGCGAAAGCTGGGCCACAGATAACCCAGATTGGAGAGAGGCCTACGAGGATCGCGCGAGGCAGATGGTCCAGCGCGACAAGAACCACGCCTCGGTCATCCTGTGGTCTTTGGGCAACGAGTCCTTCTATGGGCAGAACCACCAGCACATGTACGACGTGATCAAGAGTATCGACAAGTCACGTCTGGTACACTACGAGGGTGACTGGAATGCGTCGACGGCGGATATCTACAGCAGGATGTACGCCTCTGCCGAGGACATTATCAACACGGCGTCACAGAAGGACTGGGCCAAGCCGCTCGTGCTGTGCGAGTACATTCACGCCATGGGCAACGGCCCCGGTGGTATCAAGGAGTACATTGACGCCTTCTACAAGTATCCGCGATTGATGGGAGGTTTTGTCTGGGAATGGGCCAACCACGTAAGACTAGAAGCTCTCCAACATCGCCCGAACACGTACTAACAATACCCAGGGCCTCCGTACGACGAACGATGATGGTGAGGAATACATGGGCTACGGGGGTGACTTTGGCGATGTCCCCAACGACTATAACTTTGTCTTTGACGGCCTCTGCTTCGCCAATCACACGCCTACCCCGGGCCTGGTCGAGTATGGCAAGGCCATTGAGCCCGTCCAGACGCTCGAGATCAAGGGCAATGAGGTCACCATCATCAACCGCTACGATATCGTATCCTTGGACCATCTCACAGCCACCTGGCACATCGTTGCGGACGGTATGGTCATCGGCGGCGACCAGGAGGTCGAAATCCCCAAAGGTTTGTTGCCCATTTCTTTCTTGTCCCCGATCCCTTCCATACAGCTCATCTGACACATCATAGGCATCAAACCTCACACCAAGGCGCACCTCAAGATTAAGGGTCTTCCCAAGAACCTTACCGCCGAGGCCTACCTCCACATCGACTTCTTCCTCACCAAAGGCACAAATTGGGCCAAAAAAGGCCATCGTGTCGCCTTTGGCCAAGTCGCCCTCTCCAAGGCCCCCTCCATGGCCACAATCCTCTCCTCCCTCTCCAACCCCTTCCTCGACCCCGTTCCCACCATCCAGCAAACCTCTCCCTCCCTACTCTCTATCACCTCCGCAACAGGCCTCTCAACCTGGGGCCTCGACCTCCAACTCGGCACCCTTACCTCCTGGCGTAAAGCCTCTCACCCGCATATCGAGCTTCTAACCACACCCTTCGTCGTGGACTTTTACCGCGCCCTCACCGACAACGACCGCGGTGGCCGCTTCGGGCAGCAATGGGAGGATCGCCGACTGCATCAGACGAGCCACAACATCAAGCGCGTAGAATGGCGCAAGGAGAAGCACGGTCTTATCGTCAACGTCCACTCCCGCATCGCGCCGCCCGTCCTCGCGTGGGGCGTCGACATCTACACCACCTACACCTTCCACGGCGAGGCCATCTACATCAAGATAAAGGGCAAGCCCAGCGGTCCGCTGGTGCCGGATACCTTTGCCCGCATCGGCTTCACTTTCGGCCTCAAGAACGTGGAGAAGGTCGCGTGGTGGGGCCGTGGGCCCGGCGAGAGCTACTCGGACAAGAAGATGGCGCAGGCCTTTGGGAACTGGGAGGAGACGGTCGATGACCTGTTTGTGGACTACGAGTTCCCGCAGGACGGCGGCAACAGGACCGATGTCCGGTGGGTCGAGTTCCGCGGACAGCTGCCCGATGAAGAGGGCGTGGTCGACAAGAGCAAGCCCGCTGAGCGTCTCATTCGCGCCCGCTACGGCGATCTGGAAGGTGCCTCGTTCTCGGCCATGCACTACACCACCAAGGACCTGGACGAGTGCAAGCACCCGTACGAGCTGCACAAGCGCAAGCGGGAGGACACGGTCGTCAGGCTGGACTGGGCGCATCACGGTCTCGGGACGGGGTCCTGTGGGCCGGCGACGCTGCCGCAGTATGAGCTCAAGAGCAAGGATTTTGAGTTTGAGCTTGTTCTGGATTAGTCGTGGGATCAATGTATATGTAGCTTAAAGCTGAGACTGACATGAAATTGTAAAACATGTTCCTTCACTTTGCTGAGATATTCCAATTTCTGGGATGATCAACGTCATGTTACCGTATTCACTGTACCCTTTCCACCAGACCTATCCCCTCCCGTATCAAACATACTGATACGCCCCAATCTCAACCTTACTCTCCACAAGAATCAACCCCTCCATAGCCGTACACTGACTATCCCAATCAACACCCCACTCCCGATGCCCATGCTGCGACGTCCACCGCACCCTCACAAAGGAATGCTTCTTGCCCTCGATCGGACACGAGTAAAAGAACGGCCTTGCCGACGCGGCCGGGTCGCCGAGGTTGATGAATTTGACGAGGCGGAGCTTCTTGGTCGCGTCCGCCGGGTCCCAGATCTCGACGGCCTCGAAGCAGTTGAAGTTGGAGCCTTGAGGCATGGTGTTCCAGGTTAGGGCGTCGCCTGCGGTGTAGCTTATTACGCCGAAGGGATCGAGGTAGACAAGTTGGCCTGGGGACATCATGGACTGCGGGGGTAGAGAGTGTGAGGTAATTGAGGAGAACAGTAGAGAAGGGGGCAACGAACCTTCATCCTGCCAAAGGAACCGTCTACGACGGTGGTGTTGCCTGGTGGGCAGGAGCCTCCGCCGAAGTCTGGGCACCAGGTCGTTGGTCTTTCGAGGCCGATCCAGAAGCGTTCTTCTTCGACGTTGACTAGCTGGTCGTGGACTTTTGGTTCGGAGGGGGCGAAGGTCCGGAGTTGGTAGGAGGCGGCGGATGCTAGGGTGCTGATGGCCAGCAGGGAGAGGAATTTGGCCAACATCTTGTCGTTTTAGTCTCACTGTTGTCTACCTTAGCAGTGGTGTTGTTTCCATGCATGAAGCGTTTGAAGTGAGGAAGGAAAGAGAAGCAAGGATGAGGACGTTGCAAGTCAAGGCCGTTGGTCCGGTCTTATTGCCCGGCTCGTGGACCAGTAAGGTAGATATGGCACGAGTGTTCTATTTCGATTCATAGCAGCCGCCAAGGTAAGCCATAGCCTTCAGCCTACCTTACATGAGCGTTGAATGGCTGACATAGACCCAACGTTCTGGTGGTGAACTGCAGTCGACCAGATAAGTGGAATATTGCCTAGACATCAAACCTTGTTCACAGTTCAGGTACCATGGACTCGTGCAATCTATTCTCAATCAGAACTAAAGTAAACAAAAGAAAAGTTTCCCGGATTATCGGGACCATTCAGTTGCACGCGATGAGATTCAAGGGCTATGTTGACTTTATTGAAGCTTGTTCGTAAGACGATCATTATGTATATGGTGATTTTTCCCCTAAGAAGGTATTCGCCTAAGACGGCATCCAATAGCTCGCGTCGATTGAAAAAGTGTGGTGTATTCTTTATTCTAGTGCCAATCTTGGAGATCGCGATAGTCTCAGACCTTACGTCTGTTGTAGCTAATGAAAATGAGGTGAAATCGGACTGACGGCACCTATTGCGGATGCAAGTAATCCTCAATCGCCTTCCCCCGAGTCATCATCCCTGGTACTGCAGAGAGAGTGATGTAAACGCAAGCCATGCTATCCGCGCATCCCGTGGATACGATCGCGACTTTAGCTTGCGAAACACGCCAGACCTGCAACCCATGATCGGCGGTATGCAGCGAATCCTCGAAAGATTTGTCAAGGGAAGTTCTGCACTTCCAACGTGAATGTCTAGCAGATGTTTACTGGCCGGTTATCATAGCAGAAACAGGCACGAGATGCAACAAAGCAGCTTAACATATGAAATGTGATTAATGAAGTATAAATAGTTAAGCAGTCGCTCATCTACCCGCTGTAACCGGCCAGAACTAATGCACCCAAACGCCAGCCAGTACCCAAAGCCTGTCTATCCTCTTGACGCTCTAGATCTTTCTAGATCTTTTCTATTTACAAAGACTCCTCCTTGTGAATCTCGATGCCCGCAGGTGCACCAACCAACGTCTTGCACTGCGCGTAGATGACGAATTGACCAGCAACCAGACCGCACGTCATGACGATACGGGGGCCCAGACCAGTAAGAAGCAACCTCTTGGGGCCAAACTCCTTGGCAAGCTGGAACATACGGCTCGTGGCGCCCTGGTTCTTGTCACCTGCACCCTTGTTGATAGCGGAGAGCAATGTGTCGGCGGGGTGAGAGAGCACAGCGGCCGCGACACCAGCGACGACACCAGACGCAAGCTCCACGCCAGTGGACTGCAGCTGCGTCATCTTGGCCTTCCTCTCGGGTCCCATGGTCCGGTAAATCACCTCGACAGCAGCCTCATGCACAGAGAACTGGCCGACAGCATAAGGCACCTGCTTAAACAGCAGCGGCACAAAGCCAGAATAGAACCCCTTGAACCCTTCCTCGCGCGCAAGGCGCATAAACCCAGACCCCAGACCAGTCGCGAACCCGCGCTGGGAAACGAGACGAATGCGCGTCGCCTCGAGGGGGCAAAGCAGGATATCGGCAAAGAATTCGGCGGTGGCGGAGGCGCCGAGGTAGATTGCGGTGCGCTTTTCCACAGCCTTGTCGGGGCCGCCGGCGAGGGTGATGAACTGCTTCTTGAAGAATTCGTAGCCGGCGAATTTACCACCGCCCTGGACGAGGTAGCCGACGGCGGTGGGGCCGAAGCCGGTGAGGAGGGCGGATGCGCCTTCTTTTGCGACGATTGTGCGGCCCGCGCTGATCATGTTGAGGCCCTTCATTGCATCGTCGACTTGGATTCGCGTCTTGACGACGTCAATTGGTGTCGCGGCCTGTAGTGATTATGAGCATTTTTAGTCGAGTGCTTGTGAGGTTCTCTAGAGAATGAGGTGGTTGGCTTACACCGTGGGTGAGGGTCGCCGCGAGGGCGCCTGCGCCAAAGAACTTTCCATAGTCGACTGGTGTGAAGGTCGGGAGTTCCGATTGTGTTGTTTTTGATGCCATTTTTGGAGTGGAGATTTTCTGACGATATTCCTAAAGAACCCAAGACCTGAGAAATTGTGCTACGACTGAGGGAGTGCAAGTGAACAGCTAGGAATGTGGCTGGCCGTGGAATAATAAACGGCAGGAAGGTGCTCTTGCTCTCTCTTGTCCGTCGTCATTGCGCCCAAAGCTCCTGCCAGTTCCCAATTGCCTTGGCAGGGGTGCTGTGGAGCCGAGGTGTGGAGCTGACTCATCAATCAGTGAGCGCGCAATGACGTCGATGTCCCCTTATCTCTCCAAACGCGGCTGCCACGCACCAAAATTGAAGGCAGTGACGGAATGCCCGCCGGACCTCTCGGGAACCAGAACCAACAAGACTCAGGTCGCGCCAATTCCATCGCTCGTTTTCGGCACTTGGGACGGTGCAATTTTCAGCTTGGAAGAGTTTTTTTGTTTTTATTTTTTCTAACCCTGCCCTTGACGACATTTGCGCTCACTAACACTCTCTGGGTCCCGAACTCCTTGCCCACCTTTTCTGCCCACGATAAGCTACGCGATGCCGTTCGTCCCGACGTGCGGCTCCTCCCGCGCCGCGATTTCAGGCGAGACTCCGACGCCGACACTGGGGACTGCGTCGATCTCGGGGTTCACGAGCAGAAGCTTTGCCTTGCCCCTGTCCGTCTGTTTTCATCGAATGAAATCGCGTTCATCTGTCATCATGCTTATTCGGGCCTACGATTATATCGGCGGGTGGGCATCTAGCGATGTCTGAATATCCGATAATAACGGGTCCCTCTGTCTCTACCTTATATCGGCTAGCTGGCCATTCTCTATTTTCTCTTTCTTCTCTCCCATGAAGTCTCCTTGTCCGATGATATAACCATGGCTTCGAGCACCGACTGCCAGCGCTACCCTTTTCCTGGATTCTCTTGAGTCTCAGATAGACAGAGGAATTACCCAAATCATCAGGAGCACACCATCAGTGCAGTCGATGGAAATCGAGAAATGGCGAACAGCGAGAATCAGAAACGCATGCCTTCAGTTTCGTCGAGAGAAGGGCCTGGGGTGACCAAGTCCTACGACCAGGTTGATTAAACTGGGCAAGTGTGCGGGGTCCCAGTTCTGATGTTGCTTCAGACCTCGATTCGAGCAATCGCTGAAAACAAATTGGCCAATCATCCGGCTCACTTGACAATCCCTAGCCATTTCGTTCCATCCTCTTCATTAGTTCTCGACGGACTCTATGGCAGCTCTCCTCTGAATCTACGTACACCAGCGACTACCTAGCCTGTCAACCCCGATGACGGTCCTGGATGGAGGTGTGCAGGGTGACGAGGGCGTCCAAATTAGCGGAAAGTCGCCTGACTCGACATCGCTGCGGGGTCCCAAGCACCCTAAAAGGGAAATCTTAAACGATACATCACCCTAACCAACTTCTCCCAATCCACATCTTTTGTTCTCACGCCTCATTGTCGGCGACATAGTAAGCATCATATCAGATAAGGAGCCGTTGTCTGATAGCCCGCACTTGATTCATATGCCCTGTGTCTATGGTCGATCACGGCACTCGGAAGCGCAATGTTACGACTCGAGACCGCACAGGCTGCGTGACCTGTCGCTCCCGCAGACTGAAATGCGATGAAAAGAAGCCCCATTGTAACAACGCAAGTCCACATCTCGCCAGTTTTTTCAAGTTTGGCTCTGACTGTGGCTCCATCTAGTGTACAAGACTGAATCTCGAGTGCGGCGGTTATGCGACACCGATCAAGTTCAGAGATCAGACAGATCTGCTGAAGCGGAAACATGGCAGAAAACGCAAAGAAAAGGCACAAAGACCAGCTCCGACTGAGCCATCGCCTTCGTCGAATGCCCAAGACAGTGTAGAACCGACATTGCAGTCGCATCAAGTTAGCCAGCATGTTGTGACACCGGGAGATGAAACTTTCCATTCGGCTGACGAAAGCCATCAAACCTTTGACGAATCACAAGAATTATCCCGCTATGAGGCGGCCGCGTCACTCGCCCTGATATCTGGAGGCATTCACCAGGACTCACTGGTTCCTACTGGTGGGCATCAAACAGAATCGCCCTCGTTCTACACGCCATTTGACGACACGACTCTGCAAGCTGATTCCACTCTCGGTGGACTAGAAGAATCCAGTACGGATGACGGGCTTAACACCTCTTATCAGGGCGTAGCCACGCCGAGTTCCACGCCAGTCTACCCACGTATTGACTCGCCTTTGCTGCGACAAAGACAGTCAGAACAGGCGAATCGGCAATTGACTTCAGTGCCAACGATTCCAGTTGGCTTGTTGGAGAGCGCAAAGTTTGCCGAGGACATGGTGTTTTATCACCATTTCACGGATACCTCTCCGTACGGCACCCTCTCAATCTTGTCATTGAATGATATCCTACAGGCTGAGCACCTTGACAAGGCCTTCTTCCACGCTGCATTGGCCTTGGCGGCGCTGGATATCTCCCAGGCAAGGCCGACGGAGGCGCTCGGTAATAAGGCGGCACTGCAAGCCCTCGATCACTTTGTCACTGCCCTCGGTACGGTGCGCATGGCACAGCTCGACGATGAAGGGGTCGCTACGGGCTGTCCGCCGAACCAAGACAACGCCATCTCATGGCTGGCGACTCTTCTACTGCTGGCCAACTTTGAACTACAGAGAGGCCAGATGAAATTGTGGTACATCCATAGCCGGGCTGCGGTCACCTTCCTGTCCCAACACCTCAACCGCGTGCAGGATTCGCCGGTGGGAGAGTCGCTCATCCGATCGTTCTCGAGGATCGCCGCGCTTCTGGACATCTTTGACAGGGCATACTCTGTACGCTACAGCATAGCGTCTCCAGACGTTTCAGACTCTTTAAGCAGATCTCTAGTAAACTCGCCTCATTCGGCAGACCGGCTGCTCTTCATCCTACCGCGGGTCATCAAGCTTGAAGAAGAGTGGAGGAGCAACCCCCAACACGACCTTCACTGGCGAGAGCAAGCAGAAAGCCTTATCGAGGAGTTAAAAGCCTGGCGAAAGACCGTGCCTGACTGTGACGTGCCACCCTTACACGAGCACACCGCAAACCCTTACAATGAAGATGCAGAAGGACCTGGCATCTCCATCAGGCCCCTCAGCATCCCGGACGCCCCAGAGCCCGTTAAGGCTGCAACAACCTTCATGCACTACCTCGTGTCTCTCCTCCGCTTGGAAACGAGATACCTGCCCGGCGCAGTGCGCCAACTACCCCCCAAAGCAAAGAAAATCGTCCTCCTCGTCTGCCGCCTGGCAGCAGGCGTACCCTACGCCTCCTGCGCGGCGGTCAACGCATACTCCCACGGCATGGTCGCGGCGATGATGAACTGCTATCACATGTCAGAGGAGCAGGAGGTCAAGGACTGGGTCAAGAATTGGATCGCCGGATTCCCGCGGGAGAGGGAGGGCATCTGGAACGTGCGACACGCGCACCGCGTGCTGAATTACGTTGACCAGGAATACACGCGTCGCGGCTCGCGCTACAACTGGGAGATCATCAAAGTTCGACTGATAGACCTGGAGACAGATGCCACGCCAAGCGAGGACGAGGAGACGGACCCTGACAAGTTTTCGGTCGAGATTTATTCGCGGTGTAAACGGGGTTGGAGCATTGACTTTGTAGAAATACCGTAAAAGGAAATCCGGAACGCCCATGCTTGTGGACTCCCAGCGCACCAATGACGATGATGACAATGGATTTTTGTGAAAATGAGAAGATCTCGGAATGTGGGCTCGGTATCCGATGACATGCAGGTCCCATCGCCGAGGATTTTTGGCTGAAATTTTCTGCGGGATGACGGGCGCCGGCAGGCGGGCCTCCGATCGTCAGCCGGTCGGTGTGGGGACGGTTTAGCGTGCTCGTTCTCATTTGCCGTATTGGGTAATTCCAACAAATGGTTCAGATTCATCGCTTGCAGCTCATCCTGCTCTGCCATCACAGCAATTGAGCTTAAGCTCGAGCTGGAGGATGATGTCAAGACAAAAAGGCGCTTATCCGGGAGTTTATGGTTATAAAATATGGACGCGCGCTCTCGATGTGCACGGTGAACAACAAATTAGGACATCCTACTCGTAATTGGAACTCTTGAGCTTCGTCCACCACCAGAATATCCAGATTCATCTCCGTTCCTACCATTGAGTCAGGACATCAAGATGAGTCCCAGCGCTATCAGCACATCTTCAGCGACATTGTCAAAAGCGAGTGGCCTGCCCGACAATGGACACCCTTACGCAGAATTGGACGTCACCAAGATGCTCAAGACTCTTGTCCCCGAGGCAGACCAACTGCCCGTCCCAGATGCCCACGATCCAGTGAGATTGGGCCAGAACTGCACAACGGCACACATGGTACAAGTCCCATGGTCTATGCAAAGTGGCTGGGGAACACCCGTAATGAGCCCCTACGGCAAGATCGCCCTCGAGCCAACGGCAAGCGTCCTACACTATGCCACGGAGTCCTTCGTAAGTCCAACTACTACACAAGAGAAGCTTTTGAACACAAATTCCCTCTTCCCGAATTCATGAACCCAAGAACTGACACCCTTACCAGGAAGGAATGAAAGCCTACCGAGGCCACGACAACAAACTCCGCCTCTTTCGCCCAGACCTCAACTGCGCCCGCCTTCTGAAGTCCAACGCCCGCGTAGGCCTCCCCTCCTTCAACCCCTCCGCCCTCCTCGCCATCATCACCACCTACCTCGGCACAGAATGCCCCCGCTGGCTCCCAGACCCCGGCACAAACCTCTACGTCCGCCCCGCCATGGTCGGAAGCGGCTCCGCGCTCGGTATCAACCAGCCGCCCGAAGCCTTATTCTTCCTGTTTGCCGCGCTCTTCCCGCAGTCTCTGGGAGGAGGATCGACGAATGCGCCGCACCCGGGCATCAAGTTGCTCGCCAGCAGCCCCGAGCATATCCGCGCCTGGCCTGGCGGGTTCGGGTCCGCGAAGGTGGGCGCGAATTACGGGCCTGCTATGGTTTCGCATGCGGCGGCTAAGGCGCAGGGGTGTACGCAGACGTTGTGGTTGTTTGGGGAGGAGAGGATTGTTACGGAGGCTGGGGCGAGTAATTTCTTTGTTGTGTGGAGGAAGAAGGGGGGTGAAGGGATTGAGCTTGTAACTAGTTCTTTGGACACGGAGGTTATCCTGGATGGCATCACTCGACGGAGTGTTTTGGAAGTTGCGAGGGAGAGGCTGACGCGGGAATCGACGGCTGAGACTGAGCTTGCCCCGCTGGATGTTGTCGAGCGGCCGTTTGCTATGGGTGAGGTTGTGGAAGCATATGAGGAAGGTCGGCTAGTGGAGGCCTTTGTTTCTGGCACTGCGGTAAGTTTAACATGTGTCTTTCTGGCTTATCAATTTCTCTTAGCTAACGGGTCATATACAGATGTTTATCACCCCGGTTTCCGTGATCAAGTACGGCGACACTGAGATTCAATTCCCCATGATGGTTACTGATGAGGGGCACAAGACACCGCGCTCCGCGTACTCCAACACCATCAAATCCTGGTTGGAGGATATCATATACGGTCGAGTAGAACACGAATGGGGATACGTCGTTGCTGAGCAGTGAAAGGATTCAGGAACGGATTTTACGGATTTCCTGCCTCACTGAAAGAAGCGTATATTAGATTAAACGAAGACGAAGATGTGACTATAGTTAGAGAAGGGGTTGCATTTTCTTGTTCACGTACCTTAGATCTCAGAGAACATAGAACTCGGAGTTGACAGAAGGCCGATTTATCACTATTGTCAGAGTAAAGCGTATCCTATGTCTGCTTATTACCTCACTTGCCCGATTAATGTCTTCTAACAGTCCGCAACGGCGCAGCCACTTACTCTCAAAGGAGACATCCGGACAATCAAGCCCATGATCGAGCTTAGCCGCTGATCGAGGCAGCAGTGGGAGCTTATGATTGATGCAACAAAAGAGCAAGAGAATTGCGAGCAGCACATTTGTAATGGCATAAGGTGCTTGGCGGTATGGACTACATACGAAAACCAAGTGTGAAACAATTTCATTTCTATCCAATTCCCGATGCCATGCTAATCATACGTCTGCAATAATTTTCCATTGATATCTTCCACTACATTATTCACATAGATTTATTCAACCCCATTCTGCCTTGAAACGCCTTACGTCAAATCCGAACAGGCAAAGAAGTCATCTACTGACTTCAAGGCCATCAACGCATGGTTCTGTCTGGTCATTAGCAAAACGAGTCTTACTGCAACGGGCGCAACTCAACCGTCTACCTTCATTGAATCGTGGGTGAGTCCTCCGAGATGAGGTAAAAGTGTCACGCAGTCGTGATTCAGTAATCTTGGGTTTACGTTTGGTCTACAAGTGTTAGCTATTCACAGGCAGTATGAAAAGACTATGACGTCAGAAACTCACTCGTTGTAGTGAACATCCAGCCCAGCCGCTGCGACAGTGCCGCTGTCGATGGCATCACACAGTGCTTCCTCATCTATACAACGACCCCTGGCCACATTGACGATTCGAATTCCTTTCTTCATCCCGGAGAAGACATCCTTCGACAAAAGATGATGTGTCGTTGGAGAGTAAGAGCATGCCAAAACCAAGCAGTCCACGGAAGCGACGAGGCCCACAAGATCCTTGTGAAACAGTATCGGTGGCAAAAGCCCCTTGACGTGATCGTTCTCATGTTTTATTACTTCCAAAGTTCTCCGAAGATTGGGCCTATCAATACAGTGAACCTCCATCCCGAGAGCAGCTGCCTGTCTCGCGACGGTCTGGCCGATGGAACCCATGCCAATAATGCCAATTTTCTTTCCAAAGGGATCGACTGCGTTCTGAGACGAGTGCCTCAAGGCTGGCCAGAACTGCTCGTCGCGGAGCATTCGCTCGTAGCGATTTAGCTGACGGAATACTGAGATGATGAGATAGACCGCGACCACGGCCGTCGCCTCGCTTCCGCCTGTGGTGTTGAAAAAGTCTATGCCACGGGCATTGAGTCCCGAAACATCTTCTTCGTCGAAACCATGTCCGAAGTTGACAATCATCTTGAGAGTTGATGGAAGATATGGCAGAGCCCGTCTAGTCCAGCCCATGCCCAATTTCTCGTTGTCGGGCGGAGTGTTAATGCCGATTCGCATGATTCCGTCAATGCTCTTGCAGGTGCCGGAAGTCATGGACTGGTAGAAGTCTTGTACTTTTGGATAGTCGTACATTAGAGTTTCATACCGTGAGCTGAATTCTGCCCATACTTTGTCAGGTATGACGTCGCGAGGTGAGCCGATTACGAGGATCTTGCGTTTTTGCTGCATGTTTGGTAAAGTTGAGTGTGCCTAAATGAATGGTAACATCAAGGAAGAAAGGAAAGTCCAACTGGTGGAAATACGATTCTTTGCATGGGACTTATTGTACCAGACTGCAAGATCTCGTCGCATTCTGCAGTACCTTGTCGTCTCCTTTCTCATGCTAATGTCTAATTTCGTGTAAGTCAGCTCTCTCGTTCCCAATTTCCTTTTTCGGTAATATCTCGAAGTGGACTTTTGTATCGGCCCCCACGCTGCATCACTCGTAATCCGATCTCGCTTGACGTGGGTCTCGGTGCGACTAGACTCGACTCGGAAAGCCCAACTTCCCCTCTTTCAACACCAAAATTAGCGCCCAGAGTCAACTATTTCAGCTGGTGATAGTGCTAAGAGAAGCTTGATTGTAGTCGAAAAGCCAGTTCTTTGCTGACTAAGGACGTCGCTTCTATCGCCACGATGGTTCCTACTCCAGCACGCCCGGTGAACGATACCAATGAAGCACTAGCTAGCTTCTATGCAAAGTCCGTGAAAAATGAGAGACACCCTTGCACTTTTGCCTCGCTAATCTGGAAGACAGGGTTGATGAGCTTGAGAGTGTCTTCATCGATAGTACGTCCAAACAGTTACTTTTGGCTTTGGCTGAAAGGACCATATTTAGTTAACTATGACTTCGTGTAGGACTTGGAGACGCCATCAAGATTCCCTCAATCTCTGCTTATGCAGATAATAGGAAGGATGTGTTCGCGGTGGGTTAGACGAATAACCTCTATGCCATCAAGGCATAGAGATAACAATATCTAATAGAGAAGCAGATGAGTGAATGGGTTGCGACCAAGCTGAAGGCTGTTGGTGTTGAGGTAACACTCAAAGATCTGGGCAAGCAGGAGGGTACAGACCTCGACCTTCCTCCTCTGGTATTGGGACGCTATGGCAGCGACCCCGAAAAGCCAACGGTGCTCGTATACAGCCATTACGATGTTCAGCCTGCATCTATCGAGGACGGATGGAAGCACGAGCCCTTCGTGATGACGGTTGAAGAAGACGGCAAGATCTGCGGCAGAGGAACCTCGGACGATAAGGGCCCTCTCATTGGCTGGATCAACATGATAGAAGCTTTCCAAAAGGTGGATGTAGACGTACCGGCTAACTTGGTCTTCTGCTTTGAAGGCATGGAAGAGACCGCATCGTTTGGCCTTCGGCAGGGCCTGGAGGATGAGGCAGACAAGTACTTCAAGGATGTCGACGTGGTCTGTATCACGGATGTTGTTTGGGTGAGCGACGAGCAGATTAGCGTCCCTCAAGGACTCAGAGGCATCATCTTCTACCTTGTCACCATCACAGGTGCCAAAGTGGATGCCCATAGTGGTGGGTTCGGTGGTCAGATTTCGGAGCCAATGACAGACATGGTCAACATCATGTCTTCTTTGGTGGATGCGAATGGCAAGATTCTGGTCCCTGGGATCTACGACAATGTCCAAGCTGTCACGAAAGAAGAGTACGAGAGCTACCAAAAGCTGAACATTTCGGAAGATTCTTTGTACGGTGGCACAGGGGGTAGAAGCCTCCACGACAATCAGGCTGACGCTCTGGTCGCTCGGTACGTTCACTCGCACTCTACCTCAGATCAGTAAGCTAATCTCATTCTCCGCCCCGTAGCTGGAAGAAGCCATCTCTCAGTTTGCACAGGATAGAGAATGCCCTGCCTGGAGCCGGAGCTGTCACATCTATACCTGCTAAGCTCGTCGGAAAGTTCAGTATCCGTACTGTGCCCTTTATGAAGTGGGAGGACATTGACCAGCTGGTGCGAAAACACGTCAAGGACCGTTTCGAGAGTCTAGGAAGTAAGAACGAACTCGAAATTGAGTGTCATCCGAATGATTGGTTCTACGAGGAGGCGAGCCACTGGAATTACCAAGCCGCGATTCAGGCAACACGAAACGTGTGGGGCGTTGACCCTGCTTTGACCTGTGAAGGTGGAAGGTTAGCCTTTACATCGAACCCCAGCGTGATAGACTAGCACTAACTTTACCCAGCATACCCATCGCCTTGGACTTCAAGAAGACCTTGAAAAAAAATGTGCTCCTTATGCCTGTTGGTCGGCCTACCGATGGACAACATTCCACTAACGAGAAGCTGGATAAGAGCAACTAGTAAGTCGATATGCAGCATCAAGGTCTGGAGTTCCACAGGGGCTAACTCGCTCTTCAACAGCATCAACGCCATCAAGCTCTACGGAGCTTATCTCAAAGAGGTCACAAACTTCTGGCGTCAAAGCAAACAAAATTTGTAATTGACTGCTAGTGATAACGATGAGCTGCATTCTGCGTCTAGTCTCGCTTAAACAACGGCCTCAAGCGGTAAACTTGAACGAGCCAATATCTGTCATCGTGTCTTTGCAAGTAGGGGAAGCAGCTAGCGCGGGGTGCACCGGATTGCCATAATAGGCAGTATTGAACGACAGGTGAGGGGCAGAGAAGAATGTGGGGCACGATTGAGTTAAGCACCCGAACTACATCTACGAATACCTTACTTAGAATCATTCAAATTCAAGATTTCATTCACTTGCAGGAATGATAACAGGCCTGATTGCCAGTCTCTCTTTCTGACAAATAGCAGCCAAGCTTCTCTTCCCACGCGCGGACGACGTTCGCTCGCAGTTGCACCATGTGTCTAACCAACGTTGTCACAGATGTCAACACTAGCTCCAATTTTCAAGACTTTTCGACCCAGCATACGGCCCTTGACTTGACGATTGATTTTGACCGTAAGATCTTGATTGGTCGAACTGCAATTACTGGCCAAGCACGAGTTCATGGTCTCGCCGAAATTGTTCTAGACACAAGCCATGTCGTTATCAAGGGAGTAAGCTATCAAGGAAGAAAAGCTGCGTGGACATTGAAGCCCGACGATGGAGAGAATGGCAGTCCATTATGCATTGAACTTGGACGACGCTATGGTGAAGGGGAAACGATTGAGCTCACAGTACGTTGGATTGTCAATCCTGCTGTATCATCAATGATGGAGTTGGCTAATATAGTCGCTGGCAAGGTCGACTTCGAAACTACCGAGAACACCACGGGCCTTCAGTGGTTCAGCCCCTCGCAGACAGATGATAAAGAATACCCCTTCATGTGTGAGTGTTGGGCTGCATTGCGACTTGCCGGTCTCAGCTGATGGTCGATAGTCTCCCAGTGCGAACCGGTTCATGCTCGCTCCATTTTCCCGTGCCAGGACACACCCTCCATCAAAAGCACTTTCGATATAACAATACATTCAATACTTCCTGTCGTAGCGAGTGGTGTTCCTGAGTCTGAGTTGATCTTCCCACCAATCACGGACACGACCGAACAGAAGACCTACAGATTCAAGATGGAGATTCCAATCTCGAACTACCTCTTCGCCGTAGCAAGCGGGTAAGCCGTTCGAAGAACGTCCTCACGTATTCAATTACTTACACAGCTCTTGGAAGGAATTTGGCGGGAGAGAAGATTGGACCGAAAAGCTATGTTTACTGCGCCCCTGGTGACTTGGAAGCCTGCAAACAGGAATTTCAGCCGGACTTACAGGCAATAATCAAATCTGCAGAGGTAAGTAGCTGAGCCTGAGCAGGAAAAGCCTTGAGCTGACATAATTGCGACGTATCAGAATATGATCTTCGAGTATCCGTGGCCACTTTACAATCTGGTCGTGTTGCCAAGATCGTTCCATCTAGGCGGTATGGAAAACCCAATCTTCAACTTTTACAGCGCCACTGTCGTCTCGGGAGACCGAGAGAATATCTCTGTGGTCGCGCACGAGTTCGCGCACAGCTACAGTGGTAATCTTGTCACTAATGCGTCCTGGGAGCACTTTTGGCTGAATGAAGGCTGGACTGTCTGGACTGAGAGGAACATTGTGCGCGAACTCAGAGGGGACGACGAGGTCGAGCTCCAAGCCATCGTTGGCTGGCAGGACCTTATTCAATCTATTGAAATGTATGGCGGCGAAGACAGCGTCTTCACTAGCTTGGTACTTGAGTTTGAAGGCAAGAGGCCGGACGATATTATGTCCAAGATCTCGTACGAGAAAGGCTACACCTTCCTATGCTACCTTGAAGAGACCGTCGGACGAGAGAAGTGGCTCAAGTTTGTGCCATATGTAAGTTTACCATTTTGCTGTCTACAATTTGAAGACTAACACTTCATCACTTAAGTATTTCAGCACGTTTTATGGTGCCGCGGTTGACTCATCCCGATTCAAGGATTGTGTTCTCAAGTTCTTCTCACCCGACGCCGCTGCTACCTCCTCACTTGGCTGCGTTGACTGGAATTCTTGGTTTCACAAACCAGGCGCGCCCCCAAAGCCAGGGTTTTGCTCTGAGCTTTACAAGAAGGCCATCGAATTGGCAGATCAATGGGGCAGTCTCTCGGTCCAATCTGCGTTCAGGCCGTCTGGTAGCGATGTCGAGGGTTGGACAGCGGGACAAGTTTTAGTCTTTCTTGATCTACTCATTGAAAGTCCGCAGCCAATCCCACTCGAGTATTGTAAGCTTCTTGACGAGTTGTATGACGTGGGAAAGTCTAGCAATCTTGAAATCGTCACTCGGTACCTTCGTGTCGCGCTCAGAGCCGGCGATCGCAGTGTTTCGAAGCAGACTGAGGATATCCTGGGACAGACAGGCAGAATGAAGTTTGTGAGGCCGCTGTGAGTCGCCTCGACCAGAACAGAACGCAAGTCAAGACCATGGCTGACAGTTCACAGATTCAAAGAATTGTTGTCGGTTGACGAAGAGTTGGCGTTGGAACTGTTCAAGAAGTATCAAGACTTTTATCATCCCACTTGTCTCAGACTGGTTAGAAATCTGCTTGACGAAGAAAGGCCTTAAGACAACTACATACGGTCTTTCATGTCAAGGGTTTAGGCATTGACTCACCAAAATCGGGCATAAGGGTGGGGTGTAGATTCACGGCACATGGATAGATCTATATAGACTTGTACTGACTTTTCAAATTCGGATCTCGGTGATATAACTAGACCAGTCGGATGTGCTAGCATATTAGGGTCGTAAAATCATAAACAGAGCCAACTTAATGAGAAGCCACTAGATGAGTGTCGGTCCTCCTCAGACCCAAACGTTATGAAGTCGAAAAAGACACGCGATCCATCCTTTTGAGTTTGGAACGTACAGTAAACAAGAAATATATACCAATCAAAGTGTCGAACGATGAAGCAAGCGATGCCTTTCACTTTCCTATTTGTGCCAATTTTGGAAGACTTTGCCGGCTAAGTTGGGGTGCAACAGCACGGTCCGCCCCTAGATTTGGATAAGGTTCGTTAACTTTCGGTCGGCGGCGTTTGCCCCCACTGGATTGTTGATCTTAGAACAGTTTCCATTTCCTCGGTAAACGTCGAGAACGTGGCATTGTTGAAACAGTTTCATTCGGTTGCAGCCGCTGTTGGGCTGGTTGCATTTTCACTGTTATATGACGACACTCTCCACTATGTTCCCAGTTTGAGTCACGACTGTGATGATGACCTGGCCCTACCACAGTCCTTAGCAATGAGAAAAATGTAACAAGAGCCCAATAAAGACAACATCACTTGCGGCTCGAAGACCAAGATAACATACTGCATGTGAAATCAATGAACATATGTATAGTACTTTCCGATAACTACGCGTTGTGACTTTTCAGAACAATTGCCAATTATTCTTAATGGCGCTACCACTGATACGTGTGGTTCTTGGCCCAAGGTCATTTTGAGGATGTCATGAGTTGCCATCGAACTTTTTCAATCGAAGGGCGAATCGTACATGGATCGGGGCTTTGTTTCGAAAAGAAAACTCCGATATTGGATGCCTTGATGCTTGTTTCTTTTTTTCTGTCGACAACGAGTCAAGTACTGACTCGGTCTCCGATAAACATCGTTGCCAACACGGGCCAGACTGCCGTTTCCCTTGTTCCGAAGTTGCTTTTTCCTTCCTTGATCATCACTGGAACTGGCTCCAAGTTGTTTTCGTCGCCAGCTACGCCACGTGGGGGGCTGGGTAAGGCCGCCGTCGCCGTTGCCGGCTGGGATGGAGTCTCGGACCTGCCCCAAGCCGAAGGTGGGATTCCGGACCCGATGACCCTTTTTATCTTTCCGGCGGCTGTGCATGTTCGTCCCAAATCGCAAGTCGGCATGTGCTTGTCTTGTGCGTGAAACTTTCATTCGTCCAATAAGCCATCCATTGTATCCACGGATCCAGACCCTCGGTATGTGGGATGCCAGGTGGGATGCTGTCAGGGAAGCAGTAGGTTTTTTAGTATCCATCATGGCCCACAAGACATAGATTACGGATAGGCAAATCGGGCCTCGGTCGACTTCCATGCTAAGATTTTTACCTTTGGATGAACGCTGCATCATTGGCACCCCTGTCCGGCATCCACCGAATGGGCAAGTCGAGACGAATAGACGCCGGGGGGCAAATCTTTATCTCAAGCTTCGCCAAGTTTATGATGGGGTCAGCGGATCCCCAAGCCGCATGCGCGGCTTCTTTCGTAGGGCCGTCGCAACTTTTTGCGTAGCCGGTGGATATTTGTTCTTCGGAGCTTGAAGAATCTTGAATCCAAAAATTTCCACTCCGGGTCCTTGGACTCCTATCTGAGGAGGAGTCAAGGGAGATCCCGAGGTCCTGGCAAGGTCGTGCTGTCAGTATAAGTGAAACTGTCTCCCTTTTCCGCGAAGCATAAAGACAAAAGATTCTGCTCTTCACCACATTGTTTGTCGCTTTCCCTGCAGATCTTTTCCAGAACTGCCTATCTCTCACTGATCGACATGAAGTCGTCCACTCTTTTCAGCCTGGCCTCGGTCGTTGCCTTCGCTAGCGCATCGCCTGTCTTTCCCGCCCATGGTCACAACGGCCATAATGGAACCTTTTCTAATTCCACTTGCACTTCTATGAACCAGAGAAAGGCATGGTCAGTCATCACCTGAATGTTTTCATCACTTCTGCCAGGAAGATACTAACATCAATAATCAGGCACACTCTGGAGAACCAGGAGAAATCCGACTACCTTCAGGCCGTCAAATGCTTATTCGAATCACCCGCCAAGACGGGCATCAAGGGTGCGAAGACAAGATGGGATGAACTTCAAAGTTGCCACGTCGAACAGTCGAACTTCATTCACGGAGTTGGGTAAGCTTTTTGGAAAGCCAATCTCGACTTGTTTTCTTCTAACTCCACACTCAGAGCCTTCCTTCCTTGGCATCGCCTCTTCCTTCGTCTCCACGAAATCCTTCTCCAAGAGGAGTGCGGATACACTGGTGCTCTGCCTTACTGGGACGAGCAGCGCGATCTTGAGGTGTTTGGGACTGTCGAGAAGGCCTCTGTTTGGGGCTCTGATGAGTTCAGCTTCGGAACCAACGGTGTCAACACCACCCAAGGCACCAACTGCGTCATTGATGGCCCTTTCGCCAACACCACCCTTCGCATGGACCAAGTCTACGGCATCGACTACTATGACGAATACTGCCTCTCTCGCGAGTTTAACCAGACTGCCTTTACTTTCGCCAACCAGTCCTACGTCGACGAGTGCTACGTGAAGGAGACTTATAACGAGGCCAACTTCTGCTATGTTGATTCCCCTCACTCTTGTGGCCACCTTGCTACTGGCGGCACCGTAAGTTACCTTCTTAATCCAATCTTCGGCTGTATTTCTAACGCCTGTAATAGATGGAGAACCAAAACGCCAGCCCTGGTGACCCGATCTTCTTCTTGCACCATGCCAACTTGGATCGCCTCTGGTGGGACTGGCAACTCGCGAACCTCTCTTCGCGCCTCACTGATATGAGCGGTCAGCTCATCCCTCCCACCTTCATCATGGAGCAGAACCGCTGGCTCACGCCTTCTGCGGCCTACCTCGACTACGACGGTGATGCAGGCAACGACACCACTCTAAACCACGTTTTGTGGATGGCTGAGATCATCCCTAACAAGACTATCGCTGATGTGATGGATCTGAGATCCGAGCTCCTTTGCACGGAGTACATTGTTGCTGAGAAATAGAAAGAGTGCTTGCACTATGATGATGTGAGATGGTTCATCCCCGAATTTGCGGGTGCAGATATACCCCCCTAGACGTATAGATTTCTCAAGATAATAGACATAAACTTCAAATATCCCAGCTGCCAGCAGATGAAAGCTACATAAATTCGGCGTGATCGGCAATTTACTGTTTTCTTTGACGTCGTTCTTCTCGTTATAAGCCCGGGTCACGGCAAGCAGCATTGGTGTTGATGCGTGTCTCGGACATACTAAACGTCAGAAAATGGTTGGTCGCTCGGCTTTAGGCAGAATGCATTTCTATAATCCCGATGATTGAATCCGCCTACCGCCAACAGTCCGACATCCAGCGATCGAAGCCACAAACACTGATCTTAGCGCCGGGAGTAAGCTGTCTCGCGATTCGGAAATATCTATATCAATGTTTCAATAGGCATCGGCGAGGTTGAACACCAAAGTATAAAGCTTGGCATTACAAGGCATCAGGACTTTTTAACGATCGCGATACAGCTACACTTCACCCAGTAGACATCTTGCCTCGTCTCAACGGTTTTCACCATTCAAATAAACAAGTCGACTATCTGCCTAACATGTCATTCCCATATAAGCAAGTACTTCTAGTAGGTGCCACATCGGGCATTGGAGCAGCAATGGCGGATAAGCTTGTCGGAAACGGCGTCAAAGTCGTCGCTGTCGGTCGGCGCGAGGAACGACTAGATGCATTTGTCAAGAAGCACGGCTCAAGCAAGGCAGCCTCTGTCCGGTTTGACATTACAAATAGGGCAGGTCTCGATGATTTTGTGAAGAGGTCAGTCCCAAGTGCAGAAAATCACTGCCCACAAGCCCCCCGCCCCCTCCCCCTCCCCCACCACGGAATGGATTACTCGACCCGAAGCGTAGAAAGGCCTTGCGGACTTGATGCCTCCATACGGCAAGCATTAGCGACTTACTATACTAACAGTTTAACAGAGTTGTTGATGGGTTTCCCGATCTGGATTGTGTGTTCATCAACTCCGGAATCCAAAGTCAGATCAACTCCTCAATCTCGTTACGATCGTCATCAGGCTGACACCCTTCCGCCGCAAGACTCAACCTGGAACTTCAAACTCTCGCTCCGTTCTCCTAGACGGGTACACTTCAATTCTCTCCAACGACAACGATGGCGATCTCGCCGAACTGTACTTCACAAACACGGGTCTCCTTCTTTTGAGCGCATCCCTCGCCTCCGCTATCGCCATGAACCTCTTCCTGTCCGACATGGTTCTCAATGTCTTCGTCGCCTGCACTTTCGGTTTTTGTTTCATCGTGTCCGTCTTCTCCTGCCTGCGAAGCTGGTTGCGATTTATCCTCGCTCTGCGACGAGCGGGACGGTTCGTGTGGTCTGATACGCCGTTTGTGAACTTCTTCTCGCTCATTTATATTGCGGTGGTGTTGAAGAGTTCGACGACTATGAGGCTGAAGGATTATGTGACACTGCGGAGTATCGCTATTATCGAGCTGGTTTTCATGAAGGCGTACATCGCGGCAGCTAGCATGGATCGTCAGATTGAGCTGCTGCGTTCTCTGCACAAGTCCCGGCTTGTCCTTTTCCAGCGTGGAGTTAAGGTATGGCTTAACTTTCCTTGTTTATCGATATCCTACTAATTTTGAACACTCACCTCCCGAATCTCATCATCCAGGCCAACTTAGCTCCCGAGGAGAAACCTTCTTACTGATGTAATCACTGCAGGCACAAGAGATAGACACTATTGAGCCTCCTCGCCTCGAGAGAAGCTCAATCGTTCCGTTAACCACTGCACAGAGAATGTCGGTCATGCTCATCAAGACAACCGTTGGACACGACTTCGGCTCAGTCAGAGGCTCCAAAGGCCCCGGTAGCATCCCTGTACCCCCTATAGGCTTCTTTACGAATGATAACGTAGGTTCGGGAGACTGGCGTGTCTATCGGCTACAGGAAGATGTAATGCTGATTGCCGACAACCTGCGTGCTACGTATCCGAAGGAGTGGTGGAAGAGATTGATCAAAAAGATGCACGGTATTTTCCTCAAGCAGTTGAAGAAGGTTCGGGTTGTTTACCTTTTGAGAGTGGGTCATAAGTTTGTTGGAGACGATTCCTGCGAGAGGGGAGTCTCGCTATGGGTATCGAATGTGAATCTCGTGACTGGTGTTAGCAGCTCTGTTCTAGAGTCTTACACATTTGTTGAACACGGGAGCATTGATGGCGGCAGGGTTCTATAGAGTACAGCTGGTCATAAGAGAAAGCTTGGGCTGCGAAGGTTTACGCTGGTTATGTTAAGTGATTAGCTGTGATTAACTACTAACGCTTCGTCTGGGATTCTGTATTGTAATAACTGAAAGGTAATCAAAATTTGTTTCCTTCTTAGGCTCGAAAAACTGGTTGATCAACGAGTTGTCTATTTCGTCGGGAATGAAGGCCTGTGGCTATGCTCCAATATCTATGAACTCTAACCAGGTGGTCGTGTCTGAAATAGATTGAGTGGTACACCAGAGTGATCAAAGCCTCAAACACAAAGCCGTCCATACTTTTCGAGCTGTAACTCTCTCGCAATGCAGATCATGTTCCTCGTCAACAGAGCATATAAGAACCCAGTGGAATTCCCGAGCACCTTAGCGGCTAACGTTAACTACTCGCACCACCACTCCGCCTAATCAGACATCAAAATGCAGGTCAACAAGCTTCTCATCGCTGCGGTGCTTGGTTTTGCAACCACTGCTCTGGTATGTCGTCAAACCAGCCACTTGTCTCTAAATCAGTCCACTAATCTGCGTGTCGGATCGTCAAATAGGCTCAGGAGGGTAAATGCACGGCCAAGGGAGAATGTCAGGAGAACATCAGCGGCGTCCGCTTGTTTTGCTCTTCAGGCAGCTGTGACGGGAAGGAAGGACAGTCTTGCACGAGAAACGGTCCTGGGTCTTCTAATGTGGCCAACTGCCCTAAATGAAGTATCCAGCTAGCATTAGGGTCGCCTTGATTATGTGCCTATAGCGCGCCCACTTGCCGCAGAGTTGCAGGTCGTATCTACAACTCTTATCTGAGGGGGACAAAATAGTTGCGGCATGATACCCGCTACTTAGGCTCCTTGTGGTGCCTTAACACCATGGTTGAATTGAACAAAGAGTTACAACAGTGAAACCACTCCTTCCGTTATTCATGCGCTTCAAATAACAAGCAGGCGGGAGCTCGGCTGGATGATATGTAACACCACGCTGTTGACACCCTCTCAGTCCTGCCTGCCTACTATTACAAGATAGCACATTCAGGATCTGCGGGTAAACTACCTTTGTTCTATCTTGATTATTGTGACAATGGGGGAAGTCTTGTGCTGAGTGTACTGTACTAATGAAACAAAATGCTTAAGTAGTGTAACATTCTATCATCTCATCAAAACATGCCGATAAACGCAGGATACATGGCCAAAGTAAGACACAAACTTGACGATGGATTTGAAACAACGCGTTTTACGACTCATGTATGTGAGGTCTAGTGAGAGGAAATCTGAATAGAAAACTAATAGAGAAGGAAAAACATAGACGGGAGTGGCAACTAGACATCAAATGGTGATAGTCTCTTCAGAGAGCGGCAAGACCTTCTTTCCACACGTGTAAAACTCATATTCAGCGTCTTTGGAATGATCCTCCAGCACCGGATTGGACACACTGATAGCTCTTGCTCCTCTGGCAATCATGTCGTCGCGATACTCGCCGATGTACTTCACCACATCGGGACCCTGTCCCCCAGCGTTGTGGATGCTTGTGATGGCGTCGCCAAGCCTCAAGCCATCTGTCAGTGCACAAACACCGGCCTCTCCCCGGACTTTGGGGATTGGATTAGCTTTGACTTCCCTTCAATCCATAAATGCATACTTACATGGCGTCATCGAGTGAGCGGCATCCCCAGCCAGAGTGATCCTGCCAGCAGGCAGTTGATCGACTGTCAATTGCACACTTTGGAGCACAATCCCCGGCTTCTTGTATCTCTCAACAGGCACCTTGTCGACTAACACGCGCAGACTGTCGGGATATTTCTTCGTGGTTTCTTTCGCGAATGCCATCAACTCCTCTCGTGAGGCGGTAACGGTCCAAAATGGCTTCTCTTCTGTGCTCTTGGCAGCTTCCTGGTCGATCCAGTGAAGAATGAAGTAGAAGTACCCCGTCTTCTTATCCGGGCTGATCTTGTTCATGGCGGCGAAAAGGCTTGCTTGCCATCGGTTCTCGGACGATGAGTCCAAGACAATGTAGGCAGAATGACCCAGTTCAAGCTGATGCTTCATTTCATCAACCTCGAGTTCAATTTCGCCAACCAACGAACCCACAGGGAGCGGCGTCATGACATCTTGCCCGCCCAAGATGTGCCGACGCACCAAGCTCCGACTTCCCTCAGCCCCAACAAGGATGTTTCCGGTCTCCGAGCTTCCATCTTCAAAGTGTGCCACCACCTTGTCGTCTTGCTCCTCGAGTCGTACTAGACGTTTATTGAACTGCACCGGCAGATGCTGTAGAAGCCAGTCACGGAGACGCTGACGGTTGGCACGAACAATTTTCCCAGTCTCATCGTCCGTGACACCAACTCGCCACGAGGGCTTGCTGACGTCGTAGAATACGAACTGTGCCGGGATATGGTCGAGGGGGCTCAGATGGTTGGTTTGTTCGATGGGGCCAAGGTCTGCGGGCATCGACGCCGATAGTTCAGCTAGTAGAGGGCCGTGTAAGGCGATGGCCCATCCTTGAGCTCTAGCATCGGCTCTACTGTCCCTTTCAAAGATGGAGAAAGAGATGTTGTTCTTGCGGAGTATCTGAGCAAGTGTGAGGCCGCTTAGCCCGGCACCGATGATGAGAACATGGGGATTCGACTTGGGCGACATGGTGTTCTTTTGGACGTAGAAGTAATGAATGAGAATGACTGATGATTTGAGTTGGATTGACTGGCTGTCCTTTTCGCTGTCGGCCAGATATTTATATACATTTTGAAGACTTGTAGTCTGTCTATGAATGAGAAGCAACTCGTACCCTTGTCAGTTGCATCGGCCGCAACGTTGAAGAGGTGCACCCAGTGGATTATTCCCGGTCGGATTCGTTCCTGATTCGCGCGATACTGGCGGCCAGCACTCCGTCGGCCCACCTTCATGAAGCAGCTGGAGACACCCGCGTCGCTGATCCATCAGTCTCCGTTTGCCGGGCGCATTGATCAAGTGCAAGGGTCGAAATCATTAAGGTCTTTTGATTCCCCCATTTATGTTGTGTGTAGCGTCCTCCGGCCTGGGTCAATTTTCTCTCAGCGCCTGGTGTAGTTAGGTACATAGAAGCACGTAATAAGCAATGATACCAAAAAACACCCACAGCCAAACCAGCAGTCGCATATGCGCCCAAAAGTTCCGTACGCGAATAGAGTGTTCTCGTTCCACAATTCTTAGAGAAGCTCAAGAGCTGCACCTTCCCATGGCTAGCTTACCAAGCCCCGAAACAAGATCTGAACGGATTGAGCTTTGTTTGGCATGTTTGCCTCCAGATTGAAGATGCACCTCGATCGTTTTTAAAGGCAACATTGAAGTCTTGAACGTACACCAAGACTACTTCTACTTCAACCTCGAGCTGCAGAATGCCTATTTCCCAAGCTAAACTTGGCAACAGTCGCAAGAATAAGTCACAGCTCTGTCCCGCAGAACATCATAATTACCTCCACTCAACGAAACCTTCCATCAATAGAGCACAAGACAGAAAGTCTCTTAGACTACCTGACTTCGAACGTGAATAGACCACGTATGAGGAAGTCCACAAAACGCCTCCCCAATGTTCATAAGGCCATCTGCAGAATCCTGATAATATTATCGATGTCGTTCCCTGATTGGAGCCTCCAAGCATAGGCACAGCTCGCAATCTAAACAGCTTCACACAGATTCTGAACAAGAATATCGCCCTTTTTATGCAAGAGAACTTGATGATTTCATTTTTGAGTAAAGACCGCGGCTACCACTTGACGTTTCCAAGGCAATCTGCCGATGAAGTGAAGAGCAGATACTTTATGGATATGGATCTAGAGGTCGTGGAACTTTTCCAATGCCGTCGAATCACGTGGCGATATGAAGTATGGCAATCGAACCATTTCCATCGTAGAGAGACCTGATCATACCTCGGAGCTCTTTGCAGGGTGCGGCGATCGTAAGTGAATGAATATCGCCTGCGAAAACTGTCAAAAACACTTGACTCTTGCTCGTGACAATTTATGGAGCCTTTAATAGCAGTCGTTTCAAGCAAAATCCATAAGACCCCGATGATGATAAGAAAACTTCCAAGTCGAGAACCCCAATCCGCTGGTCATGACACCAGGCACGTGGCTGCCAGCTAGGTTCCTGCTTCAGATACCTTGTGGTAGAGCCACAGAAACAAGCTTTTGAGAACTCTTGTTTTGACGACGAAATGCTCCATATTTCCGAAATGCAGCTCGCGGCGAACCGCTTAGAAGGAGCAGGAGTTCAAGTGTCTGTTTGCATAATGAATAATCAATGTAAGGCAGCAAGGAACCTAGATCTGGACAGGCGGATTGCTACTATGACCTACAGTCATCTTCCATTCACTTTAGATAAATTGCCTGGTTGAAAATTCCGGGATGTAGGCTTCTAACGCTCCCCACCGTGTTACGTAGATCGGGAGCTCAGGGTATTAGATTAGGCAGCCAGTTGACGCAGCATCCAAGGTTCGGCAGCATGGAAAGCTTATCTTCGGCGATCCCTCCCTTCCTCAAATGGCGGGTTTCCATAACACCGATTGCGGTGAGGGTTTACGAACACTTGATGTAGTTAGTAGCTTTTGAGAATTAAGCCACACGTTTTTCTGCTGAGTCCCAGGATGCAGTTGACGGAAGACGGGCATCCCTTCAATGGCCTGTCCTGACAGCTGGCTGAGCCCCATCTGATGCGCATTTCATTATGAATAACTGCTGTTGGAAATGCCAGGAAACCTGGTCCTCGTCTTCGTTCCCCCATGTTCGTCAACAAAAGTTCCGAAGGAGCTGGCATGACTCGCAAATTGAGGAACCAAAGAGATTCTCTGATCAAGAATGTCAAACGGCATTTATCTGATCAGGTGCCCCTTGATAGGGCACTCTCATCTTCACTGGCGTTCAGATTTCAAATTGATGCGAAGAAGATCGGGTATCAAGCAAAGTCTCCTGAGTCACCATGTTTGACGCACTATTTCTGAATGAACACCACTTCTTGGCCACTACCTTCTCTTTTAATGATCAAGAATTTACAGGCATATGTGTAAGTCTCGCCATTTTGAGTATCGTCGCAATTTCAATAGCTGCAAAGAGATCCTTGGGCTCGACAGTTGAGTGATAACCTTTCCTAGAATACCTCGGCACCTGATCCAGACACACACCCCAACGAACACAACTCGATACAGATAGCGGCATCTGATCAAGAGAGCTTTTTGAGTTCAGTCGTGGACCCAAGTTTTGCCGACAGCCACATCGTAACTACATACAATGCGACAGATGGGAGGTACAGTGACAGCTGTCAACTTTCGGCTGTCGAGGGAGGCAACCTCGAACCCTGGCTGAATTTCTCTTTTGACACGGCACCATCGACCTACGCCTCAGTTCAGGAGAAACACATGTCTATTTGGCCTGGCGGCTCATTTGACGTTTCTGCTAGCGATTTTGACCTCAATCTAAGCGAGACGAATAGTTGCGAACCTATTGACATAGACGATGACTGGGTTCCTCAGGACGTCTTTGGGATGGGCTTCCAGGATGAGAACGGTGGCTGGCGTTGTAGCCATGCAGGATGTCGATCCCACACGGTATTCGAGAGAGCCTGCGATCTTCGAAAACACCATTTAACACACACAAAGGCCTTCTTCTGCCTGCGTCCCGAATGTGCGCCTTCAGGTGTTGGCTTCGCATACCAGAAAGACTACAGGCGTCACCTTCGCTCGCACGAACCAAGTATTTCTTGCCCTTATGCCTCCTGTAGCAGGGTCTTTAGTCGGATGGATAATATGGTGGGTTTTTTGCATACTTGAAACTCCTGCTATCATCCCTTTCACACCTCTTTTGATTCTTTTTCCCTGGTTCCTAACAATGGCCTTCAATGCAGAGAAATCACTTTAGTAGAATGCACGGGCGAAAGAGAAACACGCTGTTCGCTCGGCCTTGCCGGAATAGGGCCAAGAGACCCGCGCAGTCTGCAGAGAAATGTCCCCAAGCGAAGGATGCGGTTCTCAATGCATACAAACCCGTCGAAGGTTGCCAGGAGTCTCAAAATCTCTAGTAGTGCATGATTCTATTAGTCTCATATGAAGTCAAATTTTGAGAGTATGTCTCGTCAGGCCTGTAGTTAGTAGGTAGAGAAAATTCGTGCCAGTTCGTGAATCAGAGAAGCGCTTTTCTTACAACGAGAACTTCGTCTGGGTGAGATGCTCAGATCTTTGCGCTCATATGTAGATTGAAAAGACTGAGGGGACAAGACACGATCGCAATAAAAAGCTCTGGACTACTGCAAGATAAATCTCTCTTCGAAACTTCAGCTTGAACGAACCAAAACGTACACCTAGTCCTAGTAAAACATTTCTGTAACTCGGAACTAGCCTCTAGACAGCCCGAGTTCGTCCATCACCCTGACTTTAGATGTGATCAATGGGAGTGCCCAGGGACAATCTGAACATCTCCTGGAAAAGACTTGTATGCATGCTCCCTCGTCCAGTGAGTGAGAGCGTCAAAATTGTTGCACACGCGCATGCCACCATCGCCAGGATACTTGTCCTCCTGTCGTTTGTAGATGAGCGTGCCATCAGCGTGGCAAAGGATCTCCTGACGGACAACGTCGACGCAGTGCATTGTGTGATAGTACGTTGCGTCGGGAAATGAGAACGCGGGATCTTGATGAGCCTTGATGATCAACGACCTTAGCTGGCTCTGCAAAGATTGGTGTCAATGGTTAGTTGATCTTCTCGGTGTTGCTTCAATAAACCCAGAACTTTGACTTACGAGGCAGTGAAGTTGGTGAAAGGCAGCTACAAGATACACACTCTTAGATGGGTCCTGGAATGCGCGCGCAGATTGGATAAGACCAAGAGATTTGACTTGATCATCATTCAGAGCCACAATTCCGTCGCCTTCTAAATTTACAGTCATTAGCATGCTTGCGGAACATGTAGAGGTGATGAAACGTTCTATAAGCGTACCAGGAAACAGTGACTTCCAAAACTCTGTAGCAATGGTAACATTATGATTAAGGAAGTCGTCGTCATAGTCCCAATACGTTTGGACTATAGTCTCCGGATAGCTTTTCCCTGTTGAAGTCTTCACTGTTCCAAGTTGTTAGCATGACAACACCGCAAGTAATGCGAAAGGCTCCAATAGCTTACAGAAGTACGCTAGTTGGCCATTCTCTTGAGAGCGGTTGTTGAGCCCTACCGCGAGAGAACTGGCGGCGGTGAACAACACAAGAATGTGTAGTACTACCAGAAACCACCATGCTGCCAAGGTTTTGTGGAAGATAGGAGCACCCGAGCGGTTGTAAATGTTGCTGTCTAGAAATGATTCGGCCTCCTCACCGAAGTTTTGCGTTGAACCAGAAGCAGTTGGCGAGAGTTCCTCGTAATGACAATCTTTCTGTTGGTTTTCCATAGTCCAATAGAAAGAGCATGTAATAGGGTCAGCAGTTTGTCACCAGCAAAACGGGGGCCTGAGATCCACGTTCAGACAAAATATCAACCACGAGCCGAACGAGAAAAGAAGGCGGGATTTGGAGACAACAATATAGCTGAGCTGATGATGTTTCTGTTCGGTAAGTTATCTTAGTAAGGCCTCAGAGACCAAAATCAACTGAAGTCACTTTACAGCAAAGTTAGGACAATCCTCAGCAGTGCTCGCTTTGGGAACCGTACTTAGTATCCTAGACATATTGGTGGCCTCGCGTTTTCTTGCCAATGACAGACATCCAAAGCCTAGCCAGTGATGGGCATAAGAAGGTGTAATTCAACTTTGGGAGGTCTGAGCAAGGTACTAGATCATGGTAACAGATTGTTTGCCTAGGGCGGTTCCGTCCATTGCGTGAGGCCACCAATACCATGAGGCGGATGCTTTGTTGCCTCGGGCCATCTCAACCTAGCTGGACTTTTCTCGATTAAAAAGACACCGGGAAAAGAATATCCTTATAAGTAGCACTTCTTCAGTTATGAAAGAATCAGGACCACGTGCGGTCGCATCTTTCCACTTGGGCGACAGCTCGAAGTTTATCACAGTATTTCCAACTACACTGTTCGAGTAGCTTGATATCAACACTCTCGAAAAGGCATTAGCTGAACACCATTATGGAAGCCCAGGCTGAGATGAGACCTCATGATCTGAATCAGAATTCTCCCAGAAAGATCATATCACACGTCAATATCGACCCTGTTGAAGATGCGCCTACCAAAGCTTCGGCAAAACTCTTATCCCGCAAGCCGGTGCCACGAATTTGGAACCTCAATGATGAATTCTGTATTGCTGCCTTGAAGTCGGAGTGGTACAAGTCGTTGTTCGCCATCCAAAGCACCTTTTTCCACGCCTCAATCGACTTCTTCCGCGGCCCTCAGTACGATTACCGCTACCTCCTCGTCCCGCTCACTACCGGTAGCATTAGTTCGCCTATGGGCCTCGGGTCGGACTCGCAACCCGTGTCGATCAAGTTACACGGGGAGACCACATACTTGGCAGATTCTCAGCAGTTCCTCCTCGAATACGCCCTCCGGTATGATGATGACGTACGTGGCACCTACTACGTCGGGACCAGTTGCCGCGGAGAGGACCATGACAGCACTCACCTCAATCAATTCTACCATGTCGAGTGCGAACTCAGGGGCAGCTTGCAGGAAGGAATCAAAGTCGCTGATGATTACATTATCTCCCTGACGAGGGTTCTGTTGGAGAGACACGGCGACACCATCAAGTCTTTTGCTGGCTCAACGTGCCACATGACGGCCCTCCTGGAGCTCGCTGCTAGAAATGGTGGTAGGTTTCCAACGCTGTCTTTGGACGAGGCACTCGCATTGCCAGAAATTACGCATGGTGAAGGCATTATGTGGGAATACACTGTGACTGGACGCCCCGAATGTGGGCGTTCACTGACACGAAGGGGCGAGCAGGCGTTGTTGAAGCGTTGTGGCGGTGCTTGCTGGGTTGTCGAGATGCATCATCTCAGTGTGCCATTCTACCAGGCTTATTCCGATGGTTTAGACCGCAGTAAGGCTCGTTGTGGTGACTTTTTGCTCGGACTGGGAGAAGTCGTCGGCTGTGGCAACCGTCACACCACGGCCGAGGAGGCTTTGGTCGCTCTCGATCACCACGGTGTTGACTCGACCGACTATGCCTGGTATGTCGATATGCGGAGGCTGAAACCTCTTGAAACAACTGGATGGGGCATAGGATCTGAGCGGTTTCTGAGCTGGGTCTTGCAGCACGACGATGTTCGGGACATACAGTTGATACCTAGACTTAAGGGGGTGACCAGCAGCCCGTGAAAGCTCTGGCGCCGGGACCATCGTGATTGTTCGCAGTGGAGTTCACCCAAGACATAAATGTGACTGATCAATTCAATATCTGTCAATCAATAGTCACTTAGAACGTTGATTTGTCGTTCCTCATCGATATTCAAGTCTGTTATTGTGAAGTTCGTAGAGGTCGTGTGATTCGTCTCTTATGCCATCGTTGTCCCCACGTGCGACATAGTCACGAATATATCTCAGCAACTCTATGTGAAAGATTGAATGGTCATTCGACAAAGACTAGCGTGAGGTAATTTTGGCCTATACTCAGCTGTGGGATCTGTTCCGACCGTGTGAAGTGGCGTCATTGATATCTCGAAGATGGTTGCCTAGCATGAAAAATCTGCCCCACTCGTCACCGCCTCGAAAGGCCGGACATAAGGTTCGGCCAGCTTCCAGCATTAATGATACCGATTTGGTGAAATCATGATGTTAGCTTCTGTTCCTGTCTACTCCAGGTGTGTCCTGTCGCGACAGGAGCGTTGAGCAACAAGACAAGTTGATTTGGCACAGTACCATAAGAGTCCAAGTCTCCGAGAACGTTTTCTCCAGTCGAGATGTTTATAAGGTGCTCGAGATCAAACTGCCCTCTATTTTCTCCTGTCATTCCAGAAGCTACTGTTTTCTCTCATTTGTGGCGTGGTATCTCAGACTTTCCAGCGATGGCTTCCATTCGACCGCCGATTACGCCGAGACCTCTCCCAATTGTTCATTTAAACGGCTTCCCAGGTAGCGGCAAGCTCACTATCGCGAGGGCTCTACAACAGCAGCTCAGTCCCTGTTGTCGGCTAGTTCATAACCACTTGCTTATCAATCCTGCGGACGCGGTGCTACATCGCTCTGAAGCAGGCTACCAAGACCTACGGCGCGCTCTCCGCAAAGCCGTCTTTACATCGCTGGTCGAAAGTTCAGCCTGTCAAGACTTTGTCTACGTTTTCACCGACTTCCAATCCAATGATGACATAGGAAGCGCAGTGTGTGCTGAGTATCTTGAGACAGCGCGTGTTCGCGGCACAGCTATGGTGTCCATTATCATCACTTGCGACGAAGCCACCAATATATCCCGCCTACAGTCTGCTGATCGCGAGGTGCATCGCAAGATCGTCGATCCGGAACTGTTACGCATATTCCGCAATGGCGTCAGTATTCATCGCTTTGATGAGCCAGGAACGAAGAGCGTAGAGGTTGATGTCACTGAGTTGACTCCCATCGAAGCTGCGAGACAAATATTGGATCATATCCTGAGGGTCTGTCCAGATGTCGAAAGGGCAGTAGCGTCAAGCAAACTTCAGTGAGGTGTAGAGCAAATCTACCTGCTGTATAATTTTCAAAGGGAGGGAAACTTGCCTAGTCATTACCTTATAATCGAACTGAGTGTCGAATGCAATTGAAAGGTGATATGGCAGGAGGTAGAGGATACGTACTTAGAGCCGGGACAAGATGACAGTTTGGACTATGTCCCAGGTCGCCCATGAATCATATCGCTAGAATTCTTTCCGTCTAACCTGAACACAATCTATGCATCGCCTCTTAGTCACATAGTCTTGGAGAAAGAGTTTCGTGCATGTGCCTTAGAGTAAGCAGAACGTTAGTGAGGAGACTAAGTTCGGTGGTATTGATAATGAATTCACGAGAAACCTCCTGACATAAACTCAAACATAATGCGCTCTTCTTTTTTTTCTGTTTCTTTTTTCTTTCTTTTTAATCTTTTTCATGAAGACTTTCGAGCTTGATCCAAAGAAGCTGAATTTAAGCTTAAGTCGGATCCCGTCAAATTATTTTAATGAAGCTCAACGAAGTCAGCTGTGACCTGAAATTTGAATTACATGGAAATCATTAACAGACCCGACTGGGAACTCTTGTGCTGTGTGGAAAAATCCCAGTGAGTAAACGGCTAGCAAAATGATCTTTCCGTTGATGAATACAGCAATAATCCCACGCACTGCAAATCATCGCAAACCCTTTCAACGATGCAGTACTTGAGTAGCATCTTTGTCTTTATAACCCAGTAGTATGCATTCTTCTTCGTAGGAAACTTCAACATCAATACTAGCGCCTCTCCTAGTACTTAACAGTAGCCCGCTTGACGCAATGAATACCCCTCAGGAATGACTTGAATGTTGCCGAAGCTAAGGCCACAATTGCTGTTAGCGTTGACGGTGTAGCCTGCTCGTCTGGTAGAATCGTAGATGTTGGCGTAGTAGTTCATCTGCACGCAACCAGTGCCTACGACTGCTTGGTTGATGTTGAGAAGCTCGACCTGGCAACCGGCAGCGGCAGCGAGGCTGATATAGCCTGTAACAAGACAGATGGCGGCAGTGATCTTCATTGCGGACTCGTGATTTCTGGTATCATACGATCAGCTTCCTGTCAACATTGACTTCTGATGCACCATCAGCGTTGTTCACCTTTGGCTTAGAATTTTGTCTTTAGTGAAATGGCAAGAAAAGTTGCTTGGGTGACAAAGATCTCTAACATTGATAATGTAGCTTGCTTCTTCTTGTAGTTTCCCGTGGGGCAACTACCTGAATAGTAATCACGGGTGCTTATATCGCTAGACTCTTGTCAAGGAGCAAGGACATGGAGGCTCGTTGATGGACCTAGCAAGGAGCCTAGGTTAATGATGGGTTCTCAGGCTGTTCTGACCCAACCAGAATCATTCTTACATATTACAAAATGAGGCCTAGTAATTACTCCGTATTCTTTCTTGGAATGCACGACTAAGTCAATCTCCGCGGCCATGAGATGACCCGGGTGGGAGCCACCGGTCAGCTCGGATACAAGAGGATCCACGAGCTCTGGGGGCAAAACAATGTTCTACATGACACACGCAACCGCATATCATGAACAGAGATTGTGACGCTGATATCGGCACTTGCGGCAAATTCCCACTGAAATATTGTACTCAATCGTACGCCCTTGATTAACGTACAGGACTTTTCAATAGGCGTAGATATCAGCTGAAGGTGCAACATTAAAGTCATGTACGCAATGGAAAACATTACCAATTGTGTCAGTTGCTGCTCTAGTGGTCATAATCCGTTTCTACTACAATAATCGCCGAATTAATCTGCTAGCGCTGACTATGACCCCCGTGTCAGTCCAGATGGATCCCTCAGCTGCCTTGTGGGTGCAATGGCACCACGCTGTAGTCCGTACCATAGGCCATGATATTGGGGGTCATTCCGAACTATTGACTGGAATCCCAGTCCTATCAGTCGCTGAGCCCTTGTTGCGCGGCCTGGGGACGAGTCAGGGCTACATGTAATTTTGACTCATGTGGGCCAGCCCAGTGTCAGCCTGCTTGCAAAAGCGAGTAATCAACCCAAGAAAGCCAAGGTCAGAAGTCTCAGTCTGAATGGCCTCGGGCAAAGGCTGAGCACTTCAAGACGATAGATTAAAATTGGTGGTCTGGTCTGGAACTTGAAAGACGTATTGCTGGAAGATTGGCTGAAACCCAAGTAATCACAGTACAGAAACCAATGAGCCGCAACTGTTTCATTGCCAGCATGAGGCTCGGCACACCCCAAAAACAATGAGTCTGGTACGCATTTGCTCAGCGTGGGCATGCTCCGAAGTTCCATTGCAGCTGTCCAATGTACAGTAGCTGGATACAAGGGTTGGCAATTAAACTTGCTTTCAGGTATGATATTATCTATCCACGTGGAGTGCTCCGTACCCCGTACGTGTGTATTCGTATCCGTTCAGTGCTGCACCCTGCCAACAAACGAGCTTTTCGGCTTGATGTTGACGAAAAACACATACTGCACTGGCGTGACACGAAGCTCCATCATCAGGCCGCTACTCCTGCTCAACTCGAGAACCGTCGGAACTGCCCCACCAGCACTAGGCTCCCCTTCCTTGGCTTCACTGAAATGACGAAAATGGAGCTGTAGAGGGTGGTGCACTGAACCACTCACTAAAGTACTGTCTTCAACGTGTGTAATTGTCGAAGCTCGTCATCGGTCCGCGCTTGTCAGCGGGCTGGTCGGCGACATTACCGGCTCAGCCATGGCGTTCTGCTGGTGGAATTACAAGCCCACTCCTGTTTGATGCTGGTCTTGAATCAACACTCTGGGGGCTGGTGGAATAGAAACTGATAGCTCGGTCGTGCGCGTATTGAGGATATGCTCCTCGTTCACCTGCTCGTTCTCATTCCCTCTGTGTTGACACCTGGAGATGCTAGTCTTTCGCTGCCGATGGCTTTTAGCCAACCATGCACACGACTTCGGTCAGTCCGGCTCGAGCGCTTACATGCTACGCCACTAGAGAGTAACATGCAGATAATTCGTAAAGATCACAATGAGATGAAAAAGGAAAGTGAAAGTTAAGAAGACCGTCTTGGGTGAAATGAGGGAAGAGAGGGCGGCTATCTAGCATGAGCTCACATGAAGCCTAGACAGCCCTGAACCAAAATGGCGAGTAGCATTAATCAGGTAAGTCGCACTATAGTCTACTTTGGTCTTTGTCTGGTCCGTGAAATTATTTCCCAGTAGTATCAATATTCGGTGCATCACAGACCGTCATCTGTCTCCTCATCATCGATGAGATTAACCATTTCAACCACCACATCGGAATGTTCAGCACGATTTGAGGTACTGTCCAACCGCCGTTCCGGAACCCAAAAAAATGCCAAAATGATGCCCAGAGAGGAAACGAGGAGAACGCTGAAGAGCACAACGAAGCCCCACTGATAAGCTTGCATAACTTGTCCTTCATTAGTACACAATCTACACTAACCAGTGCCCAACTTGTAGGTGGCACTCACCTTTGGACTGAATATCACCATCCAAGGTCCGCAGGTTGTCGATGTTGAGCCGTGTTGCCTCGACCATCTAATTTCAATGTTAGGCAAGTGTTTTCTATGAATATCTTGGTGTGTGAGCCAGGGCATACCTTGGCTGTCTCCTCGTCCATGCTCATTGTTTCCAGCACGCCCTGAGACACGTTCTGTAATATTGCCGTACTCAGGGAAGTGGCGATGAAGACGCCAAGGGATCTCATCATGATAAAGCCCCCATTCATGGCGGCATGATCACGTTGACCACATTGACTTAATAGTGTCAACAACGCACTGGGAGCCATCATTCCCGCTCCAAGGGAAGGCATTATGAGGCAAAGGTTATACAAAGAATTCGAGACTTTGGTGGCCGGCAATACAGCAGCCATGGCCACAAGCCCCAAGGTACCTATGAGTAAGAGCACCTGACTCAGTCGCAATGTGTGCTTCGGAGTACCTAATCTTGCGATCGTCGTTCCTGCAAGCGCGCTTATTGCCGTGAATGCAATCGATGGTATGGCAACATGTGCGCTTGCGTCGCCTGTTGACTCCAGCCGGACGGCTTGAAAGAAGAATGGTATGTTGTACATGACCTGAGCAAGGGCACGTCAGGAGATAAATTCCATGTGCGTGGAGTAAACGATTTGAAATAATGCAAGGTTCACTTACACAGTAATTGATCATGGAAAAAGTCAAGGCGCTACCCATGATATTCCTGAAGGGAAATTCAAACATCTCAGGCGGAAGAACAGGTTTCAGAGCTGTTGCTTCCACGCGCAATAGTACAAAGCATGTTGCACCGAATAAAGTGGACGCCGCCAGAATCAAGGGACTTGTCCAAGATAATACATTGCCCCCTGTTCCAAATACGAAAAGAAGGCAAAGTAGAGACGTGATCTACGCATTGGTTAATGAGGGGAATATTGCGAGTAGTGATATCATGAGCTAACTTACAAGCAAAAGCGAGCCTTTCCAGTCAAAAGTCTGGTACAGGTTGGTTAGGCTGACCTTTCCCTTGTCTGAAGACCTTCTGGAGGAATCCTCGATGCTTGAGGGTATCCATAGGTATACCATGACCGAAGAAAGAAGGCATAATGGAAGTTGAATCTTATACACATAGTTCCAGCCGAATCGCTCAACGATGGCACCGCCCGAAACTGAACCTAGCCTACAGATGGATTCGAATTAGTCTGAGCCATTCAAGATGAAGACTACATCTCCTTACGCGGAGCCGGCGCCGTAGTTCACGTAGTTTAGCGATTGATAATGGCCTCTACTCTTAAGGCCGACAATATCTGTCAATACGATAGATCCTACTGGGCTGTGAGCTAAGCTGTCGAGACGCAAGGACTTGTACCGAAGTAGTTCTGGTTCAGAAACTTACCCATTGTCATCAGCCCGGAAACAGCAAGGCCACAAATGCATCTTGCCAATATCAGCCCTGTCCAAGATGTCGTAACCGCCGCTAGGCATGAGCCGACAAAGAACAAGGCTGCGGTTGAGATATAAATAGCACGTCGGCCGATACAATCCGAAAGACTAGCGTACAGAGGTTGTACAGTGATAGAAGAGACCAGGAAGGCGTTGACTGGCCACGTTGATATGTTGGTCTTGTCGAATTGAGAGGCGATGGCCAAATGCGATGATGATGACAACCCAGAGTCGACCGCTGTTACCTGCGCAATGTATTAGTTGTCATAATAGTTGCGTGTATTGAATGCATCTAAGTGAAGCCTGCTCACAAAGTTGGAAAAAAGGATGGCTAAGTCCATGTTAACGATATGTCACCTTCCATGGGACAGTTGTCTTATTGAAGGACGATTGGTATTTGGCAATCTAAGATGCAAGAAACTTACCGGCAATACTTAAATAGAAGTTGAGATTCTCAAGTCTTCTAAGGCTGCTCATATTGTATTCTACCTGGGTAATTATCTTCTCACCAGAGTTGATCAAAAGATAGTCGACGCGAGTAGGGGTGACCGAAACATTCATAAAGAAATTTAAGACAAAGCGAATGAGAAACTGGAGTAATATGACTTCAAAGATTGACGAATCGCAGATTTCTTGAGCACACAACTTATAGCCCGTTCTCGTTCTCATCGCCTATCAATTGACGTTCGTTTGTTGGCACTCTAATTTAGTACGCAACTTCTCTGCTATTACGCAGAAAGGCTCGAGGTCCGAAATCCTCTGGCCCAGTGCGCTCGTCAGACCCCATTGGCCGATATTGTTAGACTGAAATGGGGCTGCGTTGGGCCAGTAACGCTCATCATGGGTGAAACAGAGTAACATGAGATCGTCGTGGAATGAATCCGTGGCGAAAGCCCAGTGCAGCGGTGTCTGTAAGGCCACCCGTAAGCCGCGGCTTAAGGCGGCCCAGATCCCGGCCACGATAGCCCGGAATTCGACCGCCGGTGCTAAGAGAAACCCGGAGAAGCGCCGGGGGCCGGACGGCTGCCACGACTCTATTACCACTTGCAAAGGCTCGGCCGTTTTCTTAATCTTGATATGGGCTCTGAAAGTCGGATCTTCCTTCAAGTCGGTTGATGCCGGGGATATGCTGCCCGTGCTACGAATGCCGAATAAGTGGCCGCCCCTACCACCTCTGAACGTCACCATAGCTACACTTTCGGTGCCGCCGAGACTCAGCATGGCTTTCGCAACACGCCTAAGCGAACCAAAGAGATTCTCCACCTGCTTCTGGTTCATCGCAATTAGGCTTGTGTCTTTGATGCAGAAGGTGAGTTGGCTTTGCCGTGTTGGGTGCTTCGATACCCCGACTCGGACCAGGTCGTCTTCAAAACAGCAAAGTGGCGCAATGATAGGCATTGTGCAGCCTATCAATCCATATTGGAAGCGATCCCCAAGCCCTGCCGAGCCAATGGTGAAGAGCCTGCTATTGCATTGCGCCGTCTGATTGCCGTCCGCAGTGATCGCGATTATACCACAAGACAGAGAGGGACACATGCCAGTGGAATCCCACATGGCCTTCTTGACAGCTGTCTCGAGCTTGAGGCCGCTGCGGTACAGATTTGCGACGCGACTAGCCAGCATGGATGTCAAAATGGCTTCACCTCCGCCACTGCTGCGTATGGATATCAATATTAGTCGAGAAAACGAGCAGGAAACTCAAGCACTCACCATGTCACTGCGATTTGTTGATCGGCGTACAATCCAGCGCCTAAGATGGCGGTATCGCCGATTCTTCCAGGAGGTTTAAGCATCATGCCTCCGGTCGAATTAGCCGCAGCTAAGTGGCCATGTAAGTCCAGAACGACGGCACCAACGGTACCATGTTCAAGGATTTCCGCTCTGTGTTTTTGCCAGTAATCCAGGCGCCTCTCCGTTGTAAAGAAAGTGTTGGCCACCATATCTAAGCCAAAGTGGTTGGCGAGCTTGTCGGCTCCTTCTCCTGCCATGAAGACAGGTGTATGTGCATCGCTAGAGTCAAGCATGGCCCTGGCTAGTTTGATGGGGTTCTTTGTTTTTTGGAGACATGTTGCAGCTCGGTAAGCAGCTGTCCTGCCGTTGATGATCCCGGCCTCAAGCTTGCAATCAGAACAGTCAGTGTGACATACATCCGGCAATTCAATCTGGATCATGTTTGAAGTGATTCGTACCTCATGAACGCCGTCTCGATTGACAGCCGCTCCTCTGCCAGCATTGAACTCGGGGAAGTCCTCGAGCTCTGCTACTATCTCAGTAGCTATATCGACAGCTTTGAAACCTGCCCGGAGGCGCTTCTCGGCCTTGATCACAAGGCCCTTCAAGAAATTCCGGGTGGCAGCATGCGAGGCTTCGTCCCCTATCCATGATTCCGATGCACCTCCATGAAGAACAATCCCAGTTCGTGTGTCCATGCTTTCGCACGCGTAGGACGTAACGGAACATTCCAGCACGTAAGAATCGAAGGTTATCATGACGTTTTATGCCAGTCCTTGAGGGTCGAATCAACGGAAGCTATCTTCCGAGCTACTTAGACGTGCTGGCAAGTACACAGTAGTATCCACACTCTTGTTACCTCAAAGAGCTATCTCCTACCTAGCTCAAAACAAGTTGGCACGCGGCAGAATCTGACCTAGCAAAAGTACAAGGGCTCGACTCGTGCCAATCTCCTGCTGTAAGGCCGCCACTTCCGTGGGATGATCGCCATGTTGCGCTTTGTGTTACTGCTGGCCTTGCAGGTCCCAGGCTATTCCTCTGGATCCTCAGAAGGTCTGAACGTACAGACCTGATGGATATAACTCAGGACAAACGACACGAAATCACTTAGTACCTATCCAAGCGAATATCAGCATCATCTCAATAGTCAAATCACTCTACCCCTTACTACAATCATCATTCAATAAAACTTGAAACCCATAGATCGCTCATACTCTCAGTCACCAATTCACCATCAAAATGCAGATCTCTATGGCTCTTGTTGCCGGCATTGCTACCTGCGTCGCCGCAATTCCAGTCAACTCTGCGCGTGTGGGTTAAAGTGTCTAGCTTATAATGCAGTTTAACGAATGAAAATGCTGACCAGGAGGTTCAGACCGTCGACACCGTTGCCAACGAGCTTGCCTGCGTCGCTCGGGGCGACATGGCTTGCGCTGGGGTACGAACCTCGTTACTATAAGTCGGGAAAGATTTAACCAATGCTGATTACTTCAGATTGTCTCCAAGCGAACCACAACTGAGCTGGCTAACGAGCTTGCCTGCGTTGCGCGTGGCGATATGGCTTGTGCCGGTGTAAGCATTGAAACCCTGCTCAAGCATTTCAAACTCAGATTTTCACTAACGAGACACTGCAACTAAGCACGTCGAGAAACGTGACCCCGAGGTTGAACAGCTCGCGAACGAGCTTTCTTGCGTCGCCCGTGGCGACATGGCTTGCGCCGGTGTGAGTTTGAGATCCCAACACATTCCCTTATATATAGAACCTCGTCGGCTAACAGCCTGGCTGTTCAGCTAGCTAGCCAGAAGCGCGCCGTCGAGGCAGCCATTAATAAACTCGCCAGTGATGCCCAGCCTGACGGAGCATGCCTAGTAAGTCTTGTCATATTTGGCCTCGCTCGAAACCTGTGCTAAACCTTCTTCAAGCTCAATGCCAGGTCTATCAGCACCAACGAACTCTGCTGCGCTGCCCAAGGTGATATGGCTTGCGCTGGTGTAAGGTTTTCTCCGAGAAACGCCATAATTTCATTTTGGCAATATTCTAATCTGTGAACAGCTCGTCGCCAAGAAGAGAGACACCACTGAAGTTGCTAACGAACTTGCTTGCGTTGCCCGCGGTGACATGGCCTGCGCTGGTGTAAGTCACCTTAATAGGAAGAGAAGCTCAGAGCTAATATCTTTCTTCACAGCTTATTGCCTAAAAACCTCCACCCAAATACTTGACCAAAGGGCTACTAGCCGATGCTTAGTTTCGACTTCCATACTTACGTAGGGTGGACAAGAGCAACACTAAACTGAGCAAGAAAGGCTGCGTAAAGAGAAAATAGATTTCTCTTCTTCTTCGATTCTCTTCATTTTGATTTCTCTTCTTCAATAAAATGTCTCATTTGAAACAAACTGTACTAGGTATCCTTGTGGTGACTTCCGTTCACATAGCATAACAAATTCTACAATGGCTACCTGTGTTTTATCGACACTGAATCACTGGCTCATTCGACGTTACCGGAGGCCTGGCTCAAGGTACACTAACAGACCATTCGAACTTTGCACAGCTTATCCCTCATAAGGAGCAAGTGATACAAATACATCAATACAAAACCTAGGAAAAGATGCATGGCCTACATATCTAAGGAAGATATACTACTGCTTCCTCTGAGCGAAGGGGCAGTGAGCTTTGCAGATATCATCTTCAAAATTGGTCGAGAAAGGCGGAGCATCATGCCGAACGAACGAAAAGGCGCCAATGACAACTGTACCAGAATAGCTTGGGAGTCCAAATCACTTAGCGTCAAAAAGCAACCTTCGGTTCCCTGTCCCTCTGTCCCAAGCAGCTCGTCCATTGCGGGGGAAGAATCCCAGCTGGATTTTGCTAAATACAAAGACGACAACCTGTTGATATGGCGTGCGCCGGAGCAAGCGTTCTCACAGTCGCCCTCATCCATTGATGGGAGATTCAAGCTTGTCGCCAAGCCTGACGTCGACTACGTCAACGAACTTTGCTGCGTCACTCGAGGTGACGTTGCCTGCGCTGGTGTAAGCCATCATCCACCTAAATTATCACGGTCTAAGACTGTAGATCTGATCGTTTCTCAAGAGCTTGTTGCGTAGAAGGTCTGACTTTGGATTCGGCCAAAGAGGAAGCGCGCGCCATTTAATTACATGTCTGCAATTGCCTTCCGCACGAAGGTGTCTTTCAATGCGCCGGGGAGAACATTTCCAACTCTACCGGGGAAGACTTCGCCGTAGGGAGATAAAACCATTCGCTATGTCCATGAAATGAGGCCTCAGTTATGTCTACAAACTGACTGGCTTTGGGAAGCATTGATGGCGATTCTATAGCATGATGAATAAGGTAATAATCATGGGTTAATCGTCAGTACCGGTTGCTCATGTGTTTCCAGTAGTTGTTCGTCAATGACAATCACTAGTTGAAGCCATAGGTTCTTAGTCGAGATTCGCAGTGTCTTTGGAGGCCGCCAATGCACACACCTCGCTGGAGACCTTGATCCGGTGACTGGAGCCTGCCTTGTGCCAACTGTTGTGGCTGCATCAGTGCATAGTGCTTACCGCAGCAGTCGCTACCGAAAGATGCATGGTGCGCTAGGATGCTTCAGCCCAACGTTGTGCAGTTGACTGATTTCTTAGTTACCAAAACAAGACTTTGGGGGAAGCCATCCATTGGCCAAACTATCTCGAATTGAGGTGGTGATATGCAGGCTGCGAAGGATCACTGCTAGCTGCATGAGAGGGTATGCAAAGTGTATCTACCCCCTCTTTACTGAAGGGCAGCCTGCCTCGTTGTCGTGATTGATCACGGCATGCCGCATACAATACCCTGTGCTGCTTGAGGCCAGCCAAGCGATCAACTATTTCTCCTTGCTGTCGCCTAAGCTCTCGGGTCTTTTCTTGATCACGCAATTCCACCGGCCAGACCTTGTCCGAATTCTTCCAAGATGGAGAGTCCAGTTGATAAACCAAGATACCAGTATCGAGACCTTGACTGGACCGCAAAGGAGATCCGCGTAGTCGAGCTTCTGCCCGGTACTTTCCAAGAGAGAATCCGCATCAAGTTTCATCATGTCGCTCTAGCACCGCGGCGGCCTTCCGCAATCAGATTGCCCCCAAGTCGCGATGAGATCCAAAAGACCCTTCCATCAGACTGGATCGTCCGGGTCTGTCTCGATGGTCGCTTCATATTCGAGCGCATCAAGGATTACAAACCAGAAGAGCCCTACGAGACATCCTGGCTGCACCCCGTGACGGGCGTCGACCCAAACGTGAGCTTCGACGACAACAAGCTCGAGTATGAAGGTCTATCGTACGTCTGGGCCCCTGAAGGCAGCGAAGAAGATGCTCTCGTCCTAGAACCAACAGCCCCGTCCACGGGCGCGGCCTCGTCGAGCCTCAGCATCAGGCCGAACCTCGCCGCGGCTCTTCGTCACCTGCGATACCGCGATATTCCAAGGCGCATGTGGATCGACGCGCTGTGCATCAATCAGACCGATCTCGAGGAGCGCAATAGGCAGGTCCACATCATGTGCGACATCTACCGCCGTGCAAGTCACGTCGTCGTCTGGCTGGGGCCGGAGAGGGAGGACAGCAAGATCGCCATGGCTGCTCTGCGGCATCTAGGCGAGCAGGCCGTCTATACCGAGCGCGGGGCGTGGAGGACGAATCCGCCCGGTTGCAGTAACCCGGAGCTGGCTCGCGCTTCGGTGCCGCTTCCATACGACGAGCAGACCTGGCAGTCTATCATGAATCTCTTGCAGCGTTCCTGGTTCGAGCGTCTTTGGGTATGGCAAGAGGTTCGTCTAGCTGATGAGCGCTCTTTCATGCTCTGCGGCCCCGACAGCATCTCGCTCTCTCTGTTCCGTCGCGCAATCTTTTGTGCCAGCGACAAGAAGTTCCTTCCGAGCAACGAGGTGCGCGGGCTGATTCTTGACGCTGTCGAGGTGATGCTGCCATTCTCCAACCAGCCGTTCTTTCGAGAGCTGCAGACTCTCAACTGGAAGGGGTGCGCGAATCCCCGAGATAAGATCTACGGAGCATTGGGGGCTGCTCCGGCGGCGATCAGGGAGCGTATCACCCCGGACTATTCCCTGCCGGTTGAGAAGGTGTATGGCCAGTTCTGTAAGGCATATCTCGAGTGTCTGGAGAGGCTGGACTTCCTTGACCGTTGCAACATCGACGCTCGCAAAATTGATGGGCCTACTTGGATTCCAGATTGGTCCGTCCCCGTCGATAGAGCCGTACGGCTTCCGTATGCCGATATCTTTTACGCAGCCGGAGCTTCAGCGGCAGAAGTCAGCTTCAAGTCCGGAAATGGCGTAAATGACGACAAGACCATGGATGCCGCAGGAGTCTACTGCGGTACCGTATCGTTCGTAGGTCAAAAGTCACCCCCTGACTCCGACGGTCTTCTCGCCGCCGTGAAAACTTGGGAAGCAGAAGCACTCTCAACAGAGCAATACGCACCGACAAACGAGAGGGCCATAGACGCCTTCGTCACTCTTCTTGGTTTGGGATATATGATTGAGAGGTGGCCGCAGTGCAACAGTCTTCTCACGGTACCCGAAGCGGCAGACCTGTACGGCAAGGAGTTCATCAATGCCAAAGGCGATGCAGTCTCCCATGAGTCGCTCAACTTCATCCGCGTGCGGCACCGGTACTTCATCAAGACGGACACGGGATACATGGGTACATCTCATGCACGGCCAGAGATTGGAGACAAGCTTGTAGTCCTGCTGGGTTGTCCATCGCCGTTGCTTATACGACCGGATCCGGCGTCAAGTTCAGAGGACCAACGGTACAGGGTCGTAGGAGCGACGTACACTCATGGCCTAATGGATACAGAGGCACTGCTCGGTCCCTTACCAGAGGGTTGGAGGGTACGTATGGCCAGGGAGTCAGGGTTCTTTGACTCTATGCATTTCTTCTCAACAACCGCGGACAAGACGACAAAGGAGGATCCGAGACTCGGCGAAGACCCGGCAGACTGGGAGAGGCTTGAGGCTGTGAGGACGGGCAATGACCCGTGGAACTTTGCTCGATATCGCAGTCGGAAGACAAGGGAAGTGATCAACTCGGACCCAAGATTGACGGTGGACGCCCTGAAGTCACGGGGTGTTCGTGTGGAGCGTTATAGCTTGGTGTAAGCCTGACCACAGATTGTACGCAGACTGATGTCCAATCCTGGACTCCGTATTCTCACCCTTGGTTTCATTCTCGGGAACATGATTGTGTTGTAAAGCAATTATTGGAATTTCAATCACTTCACGATACCATGTTTTATTTGATAGGCATTATCATTACCAAGAAGCTTCCACCGTTATGCGAGCAGCATGCCACGCTAAGCAGTGCAAGTCGACAACGCAACATAGGTGAGGTTCTAATCATTCCACACACTGCGAGTCTCAAACCGCTCGCGTTGTTTTTCACACATTGGCAGGTGGTACCTTCCTCAAATCGTTAGGGCCAGTGCATGATTGCCTGTCTGGACAGCCTGCGTCTCACTCTACCTACCTAGCCACAGTGAATCATCTCATGGTCGTCACCCATGTCTACACAATATGCCACAAACAAAGCCTATATACCCCCTCAATCCCATTCCTGTCACCAGCAACAGCAGGCGCCCCTCTAGGTCGGGGGGTCAGGACAAACTGGCTGGGTGGTGGAATGGTTCAACAATCGATTACCCCTTCAGCCTATTGGACTGGCTACGAGTTCGAGTCCGCATACGATTCCAGCATGAGCACTACAATAACCGCCAAGAGATGTAGCCACACCGGTGGTGAACACTTTTTGATATACTCAACAACCAGCTGCTCCTGCGAAGTCCCACTGTCTCTCTCTTGGTACTTGTGTCCTTAAGATATTGATTTCTATAGGTCTCATATAGTATACCTTTACAGACTGAAGAAAGTTTGAGAGAACCTTGGTTTACTTATTTCAGTCTCTTCATCAAAACTCTCAGTACCAGCGGTGCGTGGTAGTGACACGGCTCGCTAGTGGAATCAAGTAGACCCAGAGATCAGACCCACCCCCGAAGATGAACGGCGGACATAGCTCAGTTGGGAGAGCGTCAGACTGAAGCGGGTCGCTCGAAAGAGACCTTGGAAAACTTCATTCAATCAATCTGAAGGTCGTGTGTTCAATCCACACTGGCCGCATCTTCGCTTTTTGCTGTTCTTACCAACAGACTTTGGTCAGGGAAGATTTTCGGCCAATTGGGGTTACCTATCTGCATGCACGGATGGTGGTGGTGGTGATCATTCGGGCTGAATCAAGCAAGGTGAGTGAGTGAATGAGGTCAGGAGTCTGGAGAGGTGAGAGGGCTGCTGACTAAGGCATCCCGTAGCTTGGGCTCCACACGCCCCTGGAGCCGCCGCAACGGCCCGGCCCCACCTTCCAGAATTTTGCGTCAGTCGCGGTCTGGAGCTCTCTTTCCCCATGCGCGTCAACTCAACCTAGAAGGCCCTTTCAATCCTGGGCGGTTGCCTTCTTTACAGAGCTCTCTGATTGAGGTCCCTTTCTCACCGTCCGACCCTTCTTCTTGCCAGCATCACCCTTTAGTAATATTTCTACATTCATTTTCTTTATCGACTCCCATCACATTACAACGCAGTCGGCGAGCTCTACCCTCCATGGAATAGATCAGACGTAGCGCAGGATATCAATCGACTTGGCGAAGATGGAGAAGGACTTGCGTCTGCGCCTTGTGGTTCGGCGCCATGCCGTGCCCGATGTCAAGCTTCTCTGGAACGTCACCGCCAACGATGACCTCACCATCTCGAAGCTCCTCGCCCTGGTCAACGATGTCGTTCCCCTCGAGAGCGGCGAATGGGGCCTGGAGGACTACGCCATTGAGCTTAAGGATGCCTCCGGCGACAGCTTCGAATGCGTCCACTATCACCTTGTCTCCAAGGTACTTAAGGACGATGATCAAGTCATGTAGGTTCACGAATTTATCGACTCTCAAGTGCCTTTCGATAGCTAACACTTACTAGTATTCGCCCCCTCCTGACCGGCGACCTGAAAAGACGGCGACTCAGCGGGCGACACCAGATTTCCGCCGACGGAAAGCACCTTGTCGACGGCCTCGCCTTCGGGCGCCCCTGGCTCAGAGCCCCCCGAGACCGCCCTCCTGTCAGTCTTCCTCCGAGAAAGAAGGCTCGAATCACATACATCAGCGAAGATGAAGACTCCCCTTCTGAGGCCGAGGCAGAGCGGCCGATGCTGGAGTACGAATCCACAAGAGCACAGGAGGATCCCTCGAGCGTCCAGCTCCGCACGCGGTTCTACGATGCAGATGTAGGCAGCGACTCTGAAACAGATGAGGACGATTTTGAGCCTGCCGCCGCCGACGATGACGATGAGGGCCTGGACTCGGATAATGATGATATTCAGGATGAGCTTCGTATGCTTCGAGAAGACAATGCCGCCGTTCGAGAAGGCGACATTCTCGAAGAGCTGCGAAACATTAGAGACAGGAGAGCATCCAGTGGAACCGCTAGCAGCAGGCACTCGTTGGAGACGTCTGATGACTCTCCAGTACCGTCAGCGAGCAATGCGCTAGTCAGATCTGGAGGAAGGTCAAATAGGTTCCAGCTAAACTTAGACACGCTCGACAAGATTGCTGCACTGAGAGCCGCGTTCCCTAGCGCTCAGGTCTCGACGATCGAAAGGGCGCTTTTGAGATACGGCGCGAACTTCGCTAGAGTATATCGCAAACTGAACAAGACATTCGAATCCCGTCTCAACCTCCAGCAGACTTTGGACCATCAGGCGAGGAGTCTGTCCAGCAGTCCAATCCGACACGCGAACTCGAACACGGGGCGTGAGCTCGTTCTCCGGGAATCGAGCCCACTTGCTCGATCTTCTCACGCCACATCACATGACCAGGATGAAGAGGAGGAAGAGGATGAGGATAGCGATGAAGCTTCAGAGTCCCTAAATCATAATGCATACGCCGATCGTGCTTCGATTGGCAGTGACGAAATCTCAACTTCGGACTCCGAATCAGGTTCCGACGGCGCAACATCTGAGTCGGATGAGGAGATGGGCAACGCTTCCGAAAATGATATAGTTGCCTCTTCTTCCGATGACGATTCCGACAGCGAATCAAGTCAAGCGGGAGGCGGGGGGCCTATTGCGGATGAAGACAATTCAGACTCGGCCGACGAAGAAGCCTCGAGCTCAGACGACGAATCGAGCTCCGACAATTCATCCAGCGATGAGTCAAATGTGACATCTGCAAAAGACCGGTTGTCCGCAAAACAGGCCGCGATCGTCGAGGTCTCATCCGATTCGTCGTCAGATTCATCTTCAGACGACAGCAGCAGCGAAGATTCTAGCTCGGATTCCGAACCTGAGGAGCTTCCCAGCAAGACCCTCTCTACCCAACGGATTCGTTTTGAATCCAACGAAACCCTGGAGCTGCAACAAGCAGCACCAGTCGCCGCAGCCCAGACAAAGCAAGATCAGCCCAATGTGCCTCCTGGTCAGGGATTGAGCAAGACGCAAAAAAGAAATGCGAGGCGCAAACTTGCCAAGAAAATGGCCGGCCAGAAGAGGTCTCCGTCGGCTCAGAATAGCGAAGAGTTCTCCCCAGCGGAGATGTCTGAGATGCAGGCAGTATTCTTAGCAAGAAAGCAAGCCTTACTGAACGCTATTGCATCCGACGGCCCGGCTGAGACTAGCCAAGAGAAGTCCCTTCAGATACCCGACTCTGCACCTCAAGATATTGAAACATCAACTGCTGATGCCGACATGACGGAGGCTTCACAGAGCCCTGTCGCGCAAGAAGCTGCCTCTCAGCGGCGCATGAAGCCCAATGTTGGAGCTGCCCGCCGCATGCTCATGGGATCTTTGGGGCTCAAGAACCCGAAGAACAAGGCTGACGAAGACAAGATTCGTCAAGATTTGATGAAGGGTGTCCGGCCTCACACCAACGCTCGTCTGTCAGAAGGGGCTTCTCAGCCTAGCGAATCCACACAGACCCAAGAATCGGTACAGGAAGATCCCGAAGCATGGCGCGAGAAAATCGCTTACCGAGCCGTAGAATGCTGCCACGACGGGGTCGAGCTTTCCGAACCGCCCTTCCCTTTTGTCCAGCGTTGGGACCCCCAACAACAGGTGGAAGAATGGTTCGGTTCGAAGAATAAGCGCGGGGGCAAGCGTAAGCGCGTACAGCGCGATCAAGCTCAATATCAAGAAAATGCCGACTCTCAATCGTCGAAGAAGCGTCGCGTAACCGATGACATTTTTGGTGTGACCTTCTCCGACGCGGTTGAGTCTGCTCAAGAGGGAGACACGACACTCAACTATGACGATCCGTCTGACGATCCACCAGCAACCAAGAAATCAGCTGAAGAAAGCCAGGCGACGGATATTGACGATCTCCCTTCACTTCCATCCGATCTGTCCACTCTTCCGAACCTTCGCCCAGGAGAAGCCAAACTAGGCATGGTTGTCACTTGGAAGCAACTGGTCTTGTCATCACAAACCAACTGGCAACCCCAAGTGGTGAGCTTGACCGGCGTTCTCGTTAGGATCTATGATGAGGACGCATCCGATCTTGAATTCATATTGGCTCATCGTGATCGAGGCGTCGATCGGACCGAAAAGACCTACGATGAAGAGACTGGGGAGAGAGTTTACGATCGCTTTGAAGCCCCCGATGATGACGAGGATGATGAGGATGCAGAAAACGAACTCGAAGAAGGACATCGACGCGTGAATTATCTAGAACTGATCGAGCCAAAGATTGTACAGTTTCCTCTGGAAGATGACACAAAACAGGGCGGAAACGAAAAATCCGGTGCCTCGGAGGGCGAAAGTGGCCCTACAGACAGCGTCATTCACGAAACCATATACGACGGCCAAAGCCAGCCGTCTCAGGTTAATGGAGAAATTTCCGGTCAGTCCGAGGTGGGTGAAGTTGGAAGTCAGTCAAAAGTCGATGCAAAGGGAAGTCGAGCCAGGGCTAATACGGACGAACAACAGCCTCAAGTCGTCGTGGGTAGTGACCCCCGTCTTGATGCATCCGCGGACGGCGATGAGTCTATCCAACTCGATACACACTTGAATGGTAATGACGACAGTATGAACGAAGGCGATGTGCCCACCCCCCGAGCCAAAGGCCAATCGAAAGACA